TAAAGCCTTGGCCAAACGTTTTCAACCGGAAATGGTGCAGGATCCACTTGGGCCTTTATTCAATCTGAAACAGAAAGGTACCACTCTAGAGTACAGAGACCAGTTTGAAACTGCCATAGCTCTTCAAGGTCACTTAACAGAGGAAGTCCTGAGAAGAATATTTTTTGAAAGGATTGAGGAGAGATATTAAAGCTGAACTGAAGCTTTATTCTGCTAAATCCTTAGCACAGGTCATGGATACAACTACCTTAATTGAGAATAAGAATTTGGAAGCAATGATTTTCAGGAGCAAGGAAGAAGGAAGGAAGAAAACACAGTACAGAGCTCAGAATTGGGGTGATGGAAGAAACTGGAAACCTAACCAAGGACATGATATCCATATTTGCAAAGGAACTGAGGACATTCAGATCAATAAGGAGGGCAAGAATCCAAACAATAATAGAAGTGGCACTAGATTGTCTCAAGAAGAATTGTTAAACAGGAGTAAAAAGGGCTTGTGTTTTAAATGTCGGGAGAACTGGGGAAGAGGACATGTGTGTAAGATGAGAAATTACAAGATGGTTCTAATGGAAAATTCTGAAGGAGAAGAAATATCTGACTTGGAATCTGGAACATCTGATGAAGAACCATCTGTCTACTAAAAAACTATGGAGCACCAGACTATGCAGTTATCTATTCTGAGCAAAGAAGGGATACCTTCCATGAAAACTTTTAAATTTAAAGGGAAGGTAGAATGGCAGGGAGGTGAGTCAATGGTGAATGTTCTAATAGATAGTGGTGCTACCCACAATTTTCTGTCACAGGGCTTAGTGGAGAAATGGAATATTCCTTATCATCCTATTCAAGGGTATACGATACAAATTGGAAATGGGGCTTGTGTTCCAAACTTGGGCAGATGTAATGGATTGAAACTGATGATACAAGAGGTTCCCATTCAACAAACCTATTACCTACTGGGATTGGGAGGTACTGACATTGTTCTAGGAATGGAATGGCTGACTGAGCTAGGGGATATGGAGGTCAATTTCAAGAAGCAGATCCTTAAATGGAAACAATCAGGAGGAAATTGCTTAATCAAGGGAGATTCAGTTTCTAATCAGATGGAAGTGTCAATGAAGACCATGATTAATATACTCAAGCAAGCTGGTGAGGGATATTTAATGGCATATGAAGGCAAAGGGGGTCACAAGGAACAGAAGGATGACAAGGAGGACACCTAGGAAAAGGTGATTGTTGAATTCCCTGAAGTTTTTACTACTGTGTTGCCTTTTCCACCTGCAAGAAGTTGTGACCATGCTATTAACATAAAAGAAGGAGCACATATTCCAAATATCAGGCCTTACAGGTACCCCTTATCAAGCTTTGTTTGGACAGACACCACCCCCAATCTTGAGAGGGGATGTGAGTTTAACTGCAGTAGAAGAGGTGACAGGTTAACTAATGAAAGAAACTTGATGTTGGATGAGTTAAAAGAAAATTTAGCTAAAGCTCAAAATTTGATGAAGCAGCAGGCTAATAAGCACAGGAGGGAAGTAAAGCTGGAAGTAGGAGATATGGTATTTCTAAAGATTCAACCATACAAGATGAGGAGTCTGGTTAAGAAGGTTAATCAAAAGCTCAGTCCAAGTTTCTATGGGCCTTATGAAATTGTGGATAAGTTGAATGATGTAGCTTCCAGACTGAAATTGCCACCAGGAAGTAGAATACATCCAGTATTCCATATATCTTTACTGAAGAAAGTGGTGAAACCTAATGTGAATTTCCAGAACCTCCCCAGTTGCCTCACAGAAGACTGTGAACTGCAAGTAAGTCCTGAAGCTGTGAGGAAGAGCAGGATTAATCAAGAAGGGAAGAAGGAGATACTGGTGCACTAGAAGAATCTTCCAGATTTTGAGGACTCATGGGAGGAGGTGCAGGTTATCCAAGAGCAATTCCCAGAATTCCAACTTGAGGACAAGTTGGTTGTTCAAGGAGGGGGTATTGATAGGAACCCGGTTACTAGTCTAAGAGGCGGGGTAGATTTGGCCAAGTGTATTGTAGAAGGTCCAAATAGACTAGTCTTGTTATTAGTTAAAGTTGTTAGATAACTAATAACTACCTTCCTTTTAGGGAAGGATATAAATAGTAGTCCCTGCTGCGGGATTAGGCAGGCTTGTTCAGACTCAATGTCTTGACTGGGAAGTTAGAGTTCTATCTCTATCTTTGGGCTGTTTATAACAGATTTCTGCCATTAATAAACTTCTTCTTTCTGTGCAATGATTTCAATTCTTATTACTGTTCTGAATTCGATAGTTACCTATCAAAATTGCATGGACTGACTGCTGCTTCATAACAAAGAAGCGCAGACAGTTTAATGAGTCATTTTGCCTTATTCCATCAAATTCCGAAACAAAAAAAACGAGTCTTTGGCTCCATTGCAAATGATGGAAAACATATAAGTATAATTTAAACTGGATTACAAAGAGTAGTAATAGTATTCTACTTTCTCTTTATAACTCTCCAACTAATTCCTCTCTAAAATCTGGATATCTCTTATCAGCTAATCTTAGCTTTTATCCAATCTCTATCATAGAAGGAGTTGTAAGCCTTACAGAATACCATGATGTGAAATGCGTTAGTTCAGTACTTCAGTACTTCGTCTACAGAGTATCCTTTTTCAGTTTTTACTTGGGGAAATTTCTCAGAATAAGAGCAAAATAAGAATGCTTCAATATCATTTATTGCTAATCTAGTACAACCAAAGTAATGGAGCAAATCGCAATTACATAGTCAACGAAATATGTTGGTTGTAATAATTTTAAATACATGAAGGCCGGAAGAAGTCAAACCCGGGATATAGTCATCAATGGTTGCCCCAAAAATAAGACCGGCTAATAAATAATAATACTCCATATAATATAGACAGTCAAATTTGACGATGATAATAAGAAAATGATTTTTATCATCGTGCAACTCATGCAAGCAATAAGATAAACTTGAAGTATTTTTTTCTCTATTATATTATTTAATAATGTCGCACTCCACCTTCAATTTTGCCTATAAATAGATTTGCAGGATGCAACTCAATAGTTGTATAATAAATTTCGTTGTCGTCGTTATCATAAGTAATTATCAATATCATCATCGAATTGGCTAGGCATAACGGCGTGTTATGGCTGCGTGTAACAAAGTTGTGTTCTTCACCATCCTCCTTCTGAGTGGTACGTACGTGTGTATTTATAATGTGCTTTGGTGTATATATTACAATAATTCTATACAAAATTTGTACACACTTGACACACATTTAACGTAATTATCACACTGCACACAAACAACTACTGCACGAGCTGTATATGTACAAATATGTGTCAAGTACGAATGTATTATATACCCGGTATAACAAATCAATATACTTTAATATTATGAAATACATAGTATATAGTACATTTTTTAAGCAGGCCCCTATTTTCGAATCTATTATAATTTTCTTTTCGATCTCTCTTTTCGATTTATTAGTCTCATCACTCGTTCTTTTCATCAAACATTAATTATTGATTTCGCACGCTGAATTGTGTAATAATCAAAATAAGTAACGTATAGTTACTTGTATGATTGAATGGCCGAAGTTATTGTAAAAGATTATTCTAACTATTTTTTCATATAATTTTTCTTTATTGTATTGATAAATATATACGAGTATATAATTTTTAAAGTATAAGTTTTTCATCATAAGCTGCCTAATAAGCCATAACTTAATAATTTAAGTGAAATCAATCGATTTGAGATTTGAGTGTTACTAAATGAGTTTTTAATGAAGTTTGACTTGAAAATTTGAATTACGAAGGATTTTAAATCTTGCGACATAATTAATAATGATCGTGTATAATTTTTTTAAAAACTTAACAATTTTATATTAGGCCAATTCAATTCATTGGATGTGATTTTGGTTCCAACCCATATTTAAAAAAGAAGCTTATATGTTTTCTTATATATGGCAGGTATTCTTTTTCTGGAAAATAACGTGGAACATGTTAGTGCTCAGATTTGCACTGCAGATTGTGCCCCTGGAGTAGAATATATGATCTGCCCACCAAATAATAAGAGGACTAAGCCAAATTGCACAAATTGTTGTAGAGCTAGAAACAATCGATGTCAGCTCTATCGTTCTGATAATTCTCAAATATGCCCTTAACTATTTCACATTGTTGTATTAAATAAAACTAAATACAAATAATTCGATCATATAATTACAGTTATATGAATCGATCAAATATAATTATTGTGAAGTTCCTAAATAAATTAATCGTATTTATGCTGTATGTACTATAGGGTCTATAGCAGCTTTGTTTTTGCTACAAGAATAAATATGTACCCCAGTATTAAATAATTTAATGAAGGCATATATTCATTTTGTGTTTTGATTTTTACTATTTGGTACTACTATTCGGTAAAACGGGGTAGCTATTCGTAAAGGAAAACACATAAAATTCTTGATTTTGTTTTAATCATCTCCATCTAGTTAACTAAAGTATTTATTGAAAATTTTGAAAGAAAAAGCAGTATGCTTTTAATTACCTGACTACTTACATGACACACTATATATAGGGAGGAGGTACACTGGGTTATAAATTGTACTGAGCCATAAATGTATTTAATATACTATGGGTTCCAACTTTAATTACTACCATAAGTAAATGTATTTAAAATACATTAGTTAATGATTTATTGAGTAATAGTGTATTGAAAATAAAGTTGGTAAGAGTGTTCAAATTTTGTAACACACTTGTGAAGTACTCCGTATTAGTTATAAAACAGTCATGACACAAGTGAAATACATTGATTGAAAAAATTATTACTTTAACTAAAAAGCTATTGAATGTGGCAGACCCATAACTTACATGTCAACCACATAAGAACTTTTATTTAAGATAATCTAACTTTGCATACACATACAAAATTAGTAACCTCCAAGAAATAAGAATAGATATATATCTACCTACTCACATATACAAAATGACAAATAATAGTGATAATAGTAATATTATAAAAACTACGCAGTATACAAAACCAGTAAAACTGTTATAGAATATAATGATGAAGAAAACGAAGATACAAGTAAAGGCAATGACTTAATTACATAGACACAGTTGAAGACTACACTAAAACGAATTCACAAGACTGATTACTACTTGCTCAAAACCAAGTGAAAGTAGAACCATATGTAAGTGCAACAAGATGGAAGAAGAGTTCGAAATAAGACAGATAGATAGATGCAAGTTTTTTGTTATGGAATGAATTCCAAACTTGCTTGGTATGTTCGAGAGGAGGCAACATGATGAGGAATTTTGAAATCGCTATCAAGGACTGTGTTAATATGATCAGTATCCGTGCAAACTTGAACATACGACCCCCCCGCTGAAGTGGAAACAATTTTAATGATCTTCTTTCCTGGAGTTAAATAAACCCACTTCATCTCTTGAGTTCCAAGATCAATGCAAACTAGATAATGCATAGGATTGTTTCCTTCGCGAGGACAACCGTTTACGGAGTAACGACATAAAATATTTTGAAATGGAATGGCAACCAAATGAGAATGACGACGACCATCTCCTCCCTGATGATTCCACACCCCGAGTGGGACAAAACATTCCTTCCAAGCCTTGCAGGATTGCACTGGTGGCTTCAAATATTCATGCCTGTCTATGCTTGCACCATATTCTATGTTCACTAGTTTATTCCATTCAACATCACCGTTGACGCCACTCCCACTCATTAACCATATATCCCAGCAATTTTTAGTCCAACCCTGATAACGAATCACAGCATTACGATCGCAGTCATCCAATACCCGCCAGTAATACCTCCCTTTTGCATAACAACCTTCTTTATCCCACACAACAAGATTTGGAACCACATCAATTTGTTTCCAACTCCACGAACCATCACCCACCCTTTGGCTGCAAACCATTGCGACTTGAAATTTCTCGTTTTTGCCGAAGTTGCCGACATAATTCCATAGCATTACGGCCTTCCAAGCCATGCTACGGTTACACATCCCGAAACCGAACGCTCGATTCAAATGAAATTCATATCCATATTTACCACGGACGAGTTCTTGGGCTGCTGCTGGAACCCGAACAGAGGGCAGTTGCTTGATTTCTCGTATGAAAGGGTTCCATATCAGAACATCATAGCCCGTTAACGGGGAGGCTAGACCCGTGTGGGTCACACTATCACCAGACTTGCTCAAAACCAAGCATAACATTCCTTGACAACAAGTCAAAAAACTTACCCTACAACCCGGAATGTATAGATACTTCAACTCGATCTCATCAGAGTCCACCTCTTTGAGAAGCAACCCTAATACATTATTCGGGCGCCCATATTCAGCTTTAAACTCAACAACAGCACAATCGTATTTTCCTCTATTTACCTCATGGAATTTGCGCATAAAGTGGTGGTTGTTCTTGATCTGATTATGAAAGAATTTGCACACACATTTATATTGCATAAGAGATTTCACCGGAAGTCTCACCAGGATCTCAATCACTATTTCAACGGGTAATTCCCAATCAGCGCAGTAAAATTGAAGATGTTGAAAGATCAATCGAGCTTTGTTCGTCCTAGGTACGTGCCGTCAACGCAAGTATGGCCGACGGCGGATCTGAACGAGCTGGTGCTTAAGGGCTCAATTACAAATACTTTGGGCTTAGGAATTTTAATCTGCTAAGGATGTTTTATGTTCATACAGAAATTTGCTGTATAAACAAATAGTATATTCAAATACATGAAATGTCAAACGTAGTATATTGAGTATAAACAAAGTGCATCAAATAAGGTCTATTCGAGAGTGCATCAGATAAGGGATATTGTGCATCAGATCGACAATTTGGACGGCTGAGATTAATTCTCATTTTACACGTTAAGATGTCTTCTCATTTGAACTCATCCCTACACACACACATACGTAGTATATATTTTACTCCAGTGGGTCTGGGGAAGGGGGCTGGGGGGAGCCTGGAGTAATCAGGGCTGAAACTCACTCCATTGAGTTTTCAACCCTTGTGTGCCAAGCGGGATTCGAACTCGAGACCTCCTACTAGGCACGATAATCTCACAACCAGCTGGGCTGAAATGATTTAGTAGTTATAATGTATGATCATGTCTGATTTAGGCTACTTTGAAAATTGGAATCTGTAGAAGGGGAAAATATATTTGTAGTATAACTCAAATGTTAATATTACCATGTTTTTTAGCACAATCTCTACTGTATTAATATCATCATAATAGTTATATTAATGCATAATTAGATACTGATAGAGTATTAATCTAGAGATAAGTAAAAGTTAGAGAGAGAAAGCTTGTAATTAATATTTCTGAACCCCTTACAACTACTCCCTATGGGAGTATTTATAGGGAAAATGTGGATTTGGACTCCCGGGACTTGGTCCTCGGAGGCCCGGTACAAAATAATGTCTTTGATGGGCTGAGTACATGAAGTATAAGGCTAGGTATAAAATTTAATCTACTCGAGTCTTGTGGGCCGAAGGAGGGCCTGGCTGATGGATCGGAGGACCATGTTTTTACTCATGGGCTATATTATGTGATGATAGAGTTTTGGCCGATGGAGGACCATCTGGATGTCGTGGTTCTTGTGCCTGTCTTCTGAGTATGTGCGTCATGGGATCCGAGACCATATACTCCATCAGGAGTCCCCACTCTCTTAACTGAGTCGTGGCGAAGCGAAATGGAGTAGAATATTCATTTATCTCGTTCTGGCTTTGTTGTTTTCTGGCCGATGCACGACATATCCTTAGGTCAATGAGGCATCGTTCCCTTTTCCCTTGACCGTTGTGTGAAACTTTAAATCTTTGTGGACGATGTGTATCACTGCTTTGAGGCCGACGCGCGTCTCCTGCTTGTTGTGTGTCGCTTATTCGGTGGCCGGAACGTTTCTTTTTTTTTGTCTTTTGTTAGGCCGAGGTGAGGTTTATGTTGAGGCCGAAGTGTTGGGGTTATCATTTTTGTAATTGGTTTGTCTGTCATTTTGAGGTTTTCTCAATTTGTGGAGGCCGATGTAGTCCTCTAGTCCCCCACTCCTTCAGGATGAGGTGTATGTCGGGTGTGAAGGAGTAAGGCAGTGTGTCCTAGGCTGATCGGTGACCATTGGATGCGACCGCTGGTGTGCCCAGTAGATGGGTGCCGCGTGTAGTGACCGTTGGAGGGGTTGCTATAAATAGTTCCCCTCCGAAGCACTCCCTTCACTTTGCATTTGATAAGTAACGAAGTGTTGCCGGATTTTCTAGAGACATAAAGTGTTCTTCCATTTCTTCAAATCTTCAAGGTCCATTTCTTGCTCGTTCTTCATAAGATATGTAAAAGATGTAGAATGAGTACCTTGGAGAATGAGAAATTTTAGCAGGGCAAAAAAGGAGGAGATGCATGTCATTGTAATTATGATATATACGAACTTCAGAAGGAAGTTTTTTTATGCGGTTGAAGTAATCCCCGAATCAAGGCTTTGAAACTGTATGTGTAAACTGTTAGACGGAGAGGTTTTCGTTCAAGTGGGTGGTAGAGAACACGTTACGGAGTTGACGAAAAAAATACTATTTTAACGTTAGTTGGCGTTTATAATATAAGGGGAGATTTTGGCTGCATATGTGATATAATGGAGTAATTGATAATAACTTTAATTTAATTATTTCCTAAAATAGAAATGAGAACGTTTAAATGGTACGTCTAAAAGAGGCAATTAAAAATTTTACTTGGAAGGGAGGAAGTACTAGTTTTCAGTTCTTGCTTATGTTGGCTTCTAAAGTGATTTATGATACTCACATCACTAAACTCCGTTTTAAGTATTTTTTTCTAATAATTGGCTTTGCAGAAACTTGAACTCATAACTATAACTCTTCAAACGAACATTTCATAAAACGGTTCATAAAACGGTTCAAAAATGATTGTTTATAATTTGAAAATTATTTTTCTTTTTTTGCAAGGAAAAAGACTAACTTTCATTAATAAGATCAGAGTTCATATCAGAAGAAATAAATGCCGGGACATCAAAAAACCAATAGAAAATCGGCTGATTTAGCTGATTCAACTGAAATTTATGAAGTTCTGTCTAAAGTGGCTGCATTGGTTGATTCTACTGATTTAAAAAAAAAATATACTACCTCCGTCCCTTTTATATTGGGACGGAAGAGGGTGGCACGATTATTAAGAAAAGTGGGTTTGTTTGGTTGATATTAATTGATAAATTAAGAATAAAATAAGAATGATTTAGAACCACACAAACTTTACCAAATATGGTATGAGACAATTTAAAGGGGACATCCCGAAAAGGTAAAACGGGACAATATAAAGGGGACGGAGGGAGTATTTATTAATAAAATAAAGAAAAAATTATATGTAAAAATAGCTAAAATAGTCATCTACAGTAACTTCAGCCAATACAGCTAGAAAAGTAACTTCAACCTTACTTTTTCTGCTTATGACAAAATTCAACGCGCGAAATCAAAAGTTACATATTTGGTGAAAAAGTTGGTTGATAAGTTTGATAAGCCGAGAAACAGTGTTCCCAACGGCTAGGGATGGACCCGGGCCGGGCCAATTCCGGTTCGGGACAGGGCCTGACCGGGCTTTTGTTTGGGAAGTAGGGAACCGGAACCAGCCATTACCGGCGGTTCTGGACCGGGCCGGGCCGGTTTCCGGTTCAATGTTTTTTTTCTTTTGTTTTTCTAAATTACCCCCGACCCCCCCTCACCCCCACGTCCCAAACCCCCCCAAAACACCCAGCCCTACCCGGTAGAAACAAAAAAATTGAAAAAAAATGGCCCGAACCGACCGGGCCGTTTCAACATTTTCTAGGCCCGAGCCCGAACCGGGAGTTGGGCGGTTCCGGTTGGCCCGAACCGGCCCCTAGACCGGGTACTGGGCCGAGCCGGGCCCAAACAGTACCGGACCAGTCCAGTTCCGGGCCGTGCGGCCCGACCCAAGTCCACCCTTACCAACGGCCTATAATTTGAAAATTATAAACGGTTCAAAAATGATTCATTTGTAATCATGTTATGTCTTTCTTTCAATTAATTGAATATTGTTGTTTTGGAATGTCTTAATAGATTGAAAGTAGACCTATAAATTGGCATTGAATAAATTAGTTTCATTTAAAAAAAATTGTTTGCAATGCCCCTCCATGATTCAACCCGATAATAGAATAATCTCACACTCAACATGACTCGACCCGATCCATTTCTATCCATTTTGCAATGCCCATCCATGACAAAAGCTCTGAGTCAGATGTACCTCATGTACTGATTGACTTTTAGATGTCATTTAGATTTGTTTCAATACTATACTTAAAAGTTAAGGGTCTGTTTGGTGACAGCTGCATTGGCTGGAATGGCTGAAAAGCCTGAAAAGCCTGAAAAGACTGAAGTGAAAGTGTTTGGTAATATATTGGCTGGAATGACTGATTGTGTGTAAAATTACTATAAAGGGTATTAGCTTATTTGTGTTAAATATATGGGTGTGAATTTTACTAATAAACTACTTTTGCTTGATTAGGTAATTATAAGATTCTTTGAATGACTTATTACTTCGTATTTTTTACACAATTTTTTTGGAATGAACAACATTATCATAATTTTTTTGTAAATAATATGAGTGCATTAATTTTAAAAAAAGCATACGGAGCATTAATTAAAGAGTTCACATGCCTTGAATTAACAAAAAAAAAAAGAAAAAGAACGAAGTATTTATTGAAGCAACGTGAACAAGAAGTATTATTCATCTGCTTCAATCTCTTCGATCAGAACTATAAGCACTAAGCAGCAATATAGAAGGGTAGAAGGTCTTTTAGTTTTGCTACAGTAGAATAATACAAAACAGCCGAAGAAGTAACCATATTGCTACTTTTAGTGCTGATCATAAAATTCAGCTGAAACAGCTAGTTCTTGATGTGTTTGGTGATTTTTTAGTAGTTTCAGGCTTATCAGCCCATTTTGGGGTGCTCCAAACGGCCTCTAAAACAAATTCAATCAAACTTAGACAATACTAAAATACCGCATTTAAACAGATTATTATACCATTTTTAAACCGACCTGACAAAAAAATCTTCCTATAAAATGCAAATTAATGCAAAGGTCAGTTCTTTGGTTACCCAATACGGAGTAGGTCTTTCATTACTCCTCCCTTTTTGGTACATTGTAAATATAAGGAGCAATCTTTTTACATTATAATGACCTTATGAGTTATGACCCACTCATTGACCTAGTCACATGCAGTGCAGACTGTGCAGTTGAGTTATTGTAAAGCAATTAGCAATCTGTCCATTTTTGTATTTTTGTACTCATTGACTAATTTGGTATCTTTATGAAGCCACACTTTTGCTAATAACTCTATATGGTTTTCGTAGACTCGGATCAATAGTGTCTTTCGATAAAAATTTTTTAATTTAAAGACCTAAAAATATAATTTGTACATACAAATATGTATGCCTGACAAATAGCCCTTCGGAATACATAATAAATCACCAAATGATCATCCCTTACTAGATAACTTTATTCTTCGATTAATTTCAATTTCCAACTCTTTAAGACCCCCCACTTCTTCCAATTCCTGCATTAATCATGTGGCAAAACTCAGCCACTCAAATACTTAAACAAATATTACACACCCAGAATATGCACAGAATATTTAGTGAATAATTGTATTTAAACTTCCCCATTAAGTACCTTAGGTCCTAAAAACAAGCCATATGGGACACCATTGAACTTGTCGGTATGATGCAGCTGAAATCAAGAGGAATGAAAATGAAAATCAGTCTTTAATATCAACTGTTTCTTTGCTATAGTGTATACAAAAATGACTACAAATAGGTATCGAGTATCAAAATAAGCCTATGCTGATTATTTGTGTTCCCCTGAAATAGAAATATGTAGCAATGATCAAGGATGGTAAAGCGGCAGGATTGGCTAGAATTCAGTAATAGCTTGGGTTACTTATCTAAACTAAGTAATATAAACTATAGTCCTTGAACCAAACCATACCGACAGATATAACTCAATGGACTAGATAAGCTCAGAAGATATGAGGTCTTATAAACTACTTTGCAAATTAAATGGGCTAATAAAATATACCCTAGTAAAATATAAGACCATGGACTCATGGAGTACTGAGTACAACAATTGATCTGGTATCCAATTACCTGATGAGCTGAAGCTACTTTTCTAAAATAAGGTACATTGGCAATTGGGCCTACAGAGAATCGCTTGTGTACCAGGCCATCATGGACGAACATGTAGGCCATCCCAAACACCGTTATTCCTAGTCCCTGTACCAAAATAGAATGCACGTCTCCAATTATAGAAATTGGTATTTATATAAGGACATCAACGAGGTTGTGCGTTTTTTCTCTAAAAAATTAAGCATGAAACCAGGTTAATGTTAATGACCAGACCCTACTGTCATTTGAGCATTATTTGCTTCTGTTGAAAAGACTATTTGAAATAATAAATGTACCATGCATCAAGATGTAATACTCAATTTTGACTAACATAATAAAGAGAGTACCATATAGAGTGAGCAGACTTACGGCTCCAAAACAGAGGCCAGGAACGATGCCTTTGTTGAAAAAACCATAGAAGAGGAGGGCAATGGCCGGGACAGCATTTATTATGGCAAATACATCATTCAGCTCGAATGCTCCTTCTCTTGGTTTATGGTGAGACTATACAAATATAATCCAAACATGACACCGAGAAAGCCAGAAAACTAAGGCAACATATATTCAGTAAAAGCATTAATATAGGTGAAGTGAGGTACATATAAAACTCCTTACAAAAGAAACATTTCTTATATACAATTATTATCTTAAACCAATAGGATGTATTAAATTTCTGATTTGAAAAACTTCTCCATCTCTTTATTTTCAAATGGAACTCAAATCTCCAAAACTGAATAATTAAATTTCTAAAATGAGTCGTTCTTCATGTACCCGCCGGGCGTGTGCATGCTTTTTTACACACCACACTTACAATCCTATACGTTTTTTTCTAAAAAAACTGCAATTGTTTTATGAACCGGTGTACACGGATAACTAGGGGGCGTGTGTACAAAAACATGTACAAACGAATTTTTCCGTCTAAAATTAGGTCTCCACATAAAGGCATGATCATTTTCATTGAAATGTAAACGTGTACCAAAAAGCTCCGCAAAACCTAAATTCATCCGGAACTAAACAGACCAAAATTTACTCCTAATGCATAACTAACCACTGAGGGTTTGAGATTCTCCTATCATTCTCTATACCATACTTAAAATTGTCCATTAATTTTGAGAGGAAGAGCTCAAAATAGTAACAAAACTGACCTCGTGCATATGCCACAGCGAAGCGTGCCACAGAGCTTTATGAGCCCATCTCGCCCAGAATTCCATTCCTATCTGAAAGTTTCAACAACAAATCCCAATTCCATCAATGCCCGCACAAATCAATGTTTCTTCCGAAGAAATGGAAGGAATTCTTGTGACACTTACAGCGGCTCCAACTGATAGAGCAAATGTACCGAACATCTCAATATATGGAATATTCCCCCCCTATCCTCCCCGGAATAAAATGAAAATATAATCAGTTTCAGAAAATTAAGGGGAATCAAATGAGAAGCGTCAAGTTTTTGCAAGCAGTACCTCCACTAGCCAAGCAAATCTATAATAAACAGCTAAAACAGCCAAGGAAGTAACACCAAAGCTAGACATCACGGCAGCCACAAGGTAAGTGAGGCGCTCCAACTTTTTCCTCTCCAATTTCTCTTCCAAGCGAGACGCCGAGATCTGCTTCTCTATCACCCGCCCAATTTCCTGGGCCCGAATTTCAAACTCGGAGTCCACCTTCTCGTCTTTCAGAACAAAGCAGACGGTCAGGACGGGCTTCCTTCGAGTGCTTCTAATCAACGAACTCTGAAACCGCCGCCGAGACGAAGGAAGAAGCAGTAAAGTGGGCGAGGAAGCAGAGCAGCTGGGGTTGGAGCTGATGAATGATAAGTGGCGGTTAAAGCTCGCTCGGAAGCCAGCGGCACTGGCAGCTCCGGCCGCCATGCTTGGCGGAGCTAAATAAAAACACGATGATGATGATGGTTGTTTGGAGGAAAGTGAGAGGCGAGTTTGGGGTGAAAACGAATGAGTGAAGGACTCCATTAAAGAGGAAGGTGGAGGGCTTAAGACCGCATGTTTGGTTTAAGGACAGTATGAAGCTACGATACGGCAATCCCTTTTATTGGCCCGGTTAAGCTTTTGCTGGAATGACGGTGCACATTTTTTTGGCGTTTGGCTAACTAATTTGATAACTCTTTCCATTCACAAGATGTTTAAGTTAACGGTGTAATTTCATAGTTTAGATTATTTCACTCCACCCTCACCTTTCTAATGACTAGACTAGAAGAGATGTTAATATGTTATTGGCCCATTTTATTAGTACTTAGGTTGATGGTGCTTGGGCCTTGGTATTAGGAATGTTTTTAATTGAATCATTTTCACGCCTAGATCATACCAAACTTAAACGGATTAGATCGAATCGGACAACACTGGATCAAATCAGACCAGATTTTGAAAGATTGAAAATACACTAAGATCATATATTTACCAGATCAGATTAGACTGGGCGAGACCAGAAAGTTTAAAGTTATGATGACACATAAAAATAAAATAAAACATCATCAGTCCGTTTGGTGACCCAGTTTTTCGACTTATCAGGCTTATCAACCGACTTTTTCACCAAACACGTAACTTTTGATTCGCGCGCTGAATTGTGCAATAATAAGAAAAACTAAAGTTGAAGTTACCTTTCTGGCTGTTTTGGCTGAAGTTACGTAGAGAATCATTTTAGTTATTTCTCATATAGAGGAAAGTTCATGTCCGGAATTCCCGACAGGAACCTCCGTCCGGACGGCGGCGTTTGGCCGTCTTCCCGGTGGAATTTTTTGATGAAATTTTTATGGCATGTTCTTCATTAAGTCTAGTTTATCCACACAAAAATTCAGCTAAAAACTCAATCGGGAAGACCATCAAATGATTTTTGGAAGATAACTGTGTTTTATATGTATAAATTGGGCGAAGTTATCTTCTAAAAATCATTTGACGACCTTCCCGATTGAGTTTTTAGCTGAATTTTTTTGTGGATAAACTAGACTTGATGAAGAACATGCCATAAAAATTTTATAAAAAAATGCCTCCGAGAAGGCCCACAAAAGCCGCCGTCCGGACGGCGGTTCCGGTCAGGAATTCCTGACCGGAAGGAATTCCTGACCGGAAGAGTACTCTTCTCATATAATCTTTTATTTATTTTATTAATACAATATATTTTAAATATAATTTTTTATAAGTCAACAGAATCAGCCAATCCAGTTACTTCAGCCAGAAATTCAAAAATTTCAGCAGAATCAGTCGATTAAGTCAACTTCAGTGCTACCAAACGAGCTCCATATCTATTTAATTGTTTACAACACTTTGCCTTTTATTTGTATTTATAAATTTTCAATATTTTTGTCTTTTTTCATCTTTTGTTTCTTGGTTATCTCCTATGGGATACTACTTACACATTTTGTACCTCATCCACCCTACTATTTTAGCTTGAATATAGAGGGAGAGAAGTAAATTAATACTATGGGGGGAGAGGTTACAAAAGAAATACTGCGTATCAAACACACACACGTACTATTAACAATTTTAACTTATACTCCGTAATTATCAATTAATTGACAAGATGGAAGAGATTTTGAAAATGGAGTAAATTTTTAAAAAGTAATTGAATGCAAATGACACATTGGCATTATATGTAACAGTGGATGTCTTTTTATCATCATATTTGTAACTTTGTAAGGGGTGTTTCGAACTCATTCTGCTTCTACTTCTGCTTCTTTTTTAAAGCAAAAACAGAATCAGAATCAGTTTTCAGAAGTTAGTCTCCTCCAACTTCTAAAACATTGATTGTAGAAGTAAATTAAAGCAAGAGAATCACCTCTGCACTTTCACCCAAACACTCCAACTTTTGCTTCTGCTCCCTAAAGGAGCAGAAGCAATTTTATGAATCATATCCAAACATCCCCTAAGTCTAAATTTTATGAATCATATCCAAACATCCCCTAAGTCTCAAACTATGAGACTCATAATTGATAATATTTTGCTGGATATGATTGCGTAGATTTCTCTTAATGATATAGCTTAGTAGAGCATCTCCAATGCTGCAATATGCACGCTGAACATGTGGCATGAAAGATAATCACATAAATAATACTCCCCCCGTCCCACTAACAATGGGACAAGAGGGAACAACATACAAATCTACAAAAAGTGGTTTATGTGATTGATATTGAATTGATAAAGTAAGAATAAAGTAAAAATGATTTAGAGCCACACAAACTTTACCAAATAAGGTATGAGACAATCTTAGTGAGACGGACCGAAATAGTAAAATGGGACAATCTTAGCGGGACGAGGGTAGTAGCAAATAAATTATCTCTCTCCTCATTTAAATAATTTTATACAAGTTATGAAAGTTTTTCTCTGCAATGTCAACCGCAGTGTCTATATCTAGACGGTCTTCTTGACATTGTTGAGAAAAATTTATAAAAATTGTATAAAACCATTCAAATAAGGAGAGGATAATTTATTTGTTAATATTTATGGCATTTGCTTGTTTGGGGCGCTAAACATTTCGTGCACATCATTTAAATAAGACATTCATGACTTATGTGTGCATGCAATTTGGAATATTTCCTGGTAAGGGGCGTATATGACTGATACGATTAAAATTGCTTAACTTTTGGATAGTTTGGTCCAAATAAAAAGTATTTTCTAGGTCAAAAACAAGAACTAATCTTCACTATTGATGTGAAAAATGAATGGAACAGATCAATTTTTAGGTTGGAAACGCGGTGACATATTTGTAATTATGGAAAACTTTTATTGAAAATATTGTGACAAATGTGCATCACAATAGTCAAAAAGTGCACATGTAAAGCACAAAAGTGCAATACGGTACAAAATAAAAAGTGTACAAGCTGGAAAATTTTAACAATCTTTTTTTACACACATGAGTGCACTATTAATCAGTAACTATTCACTTTATAGTATAAACGTTTGCACATTTTTCAAACCATCTCTTGTGTTTAAAGTTCATATAATCCATCCATTTTCAAGTGATGGAAGACCAAGATTTGTTCTCACTTTCATGGGAAGACTACTTTTACTTCAACGGTTGAACTAAAATATTTAGATATTTTAGATGTGGAGTGGTTGAAGTTCAACCACCCCACATCTAAAATATCTAAATATTAGGGGGTGTCCCGGATTCATATTCTGGAGGATTTCAATGGAGTTTAGAATTCCGTCAGAATCCAGGTGTCCCCGATTTGGATTTCTGTGGAGTCCATGAAAATAAGGGTGTCCTCAAACATTCCATTGATTTCTATTGTTACTAATTTGAATGGATTTTATTGGATTTTGATGGAATTCTACATAAAAAACAATCCACCACAATCTTGTAGATTCCCCCGAATTTCAAAATCCATGGTCATTTAAAATCCATCAAACTCATAATCGAGGAACCCCATCTAAAGTAGTTATAGAATATGCTTTAAAAAAGTTGAAGAAAACAGTTATAAAATAGTGCATGGATTTTACATCAAAGTTCATAAACTATTTCACATTCGTTTTTTAATGTCATCTTGGTGCTTCACTGATTTTTACAACATTTAAAAGAAATAATTACATAAATATGACCAAAATAAAGATGGTTTACAAAAATATGAGTAGTTACTATAGTAGTAATGAAATCATAGTAATTCATGTTCAAGTTTTGAACTTAAGTTACCACAACACTACTTTGTAGTAATGAATAGTCATATTTATGTAAATAAGTTGTATTTTAGTAATATTCTTGTAAATAAGTTTTATTTTACTAAATATGACTAAAATAAGTTTTAGAAGAATATTACTAAAATAAAACTTATTTACATAAATATGACTATTCATTAGTACAACGTTGTGTTGTAGTAACTTAAGTTCAAAACTTGAACATGAATTACTATGATTTCATTACTACTCTAGTAACTAGTCATATTTTTGTAAATCATCTTTATTTTGGTCATATTCATGTAATTATTTCTTAACGTTAGGGGAAAGTTATTGGGTTTATTAATGGGCTTTTTATTTTAATATTACTAATTTTGAACCAATTACCCAAAAGTGACCAGTTTTAAAAAGGGGCAAAAAGTGATCAAGAAGATCATATATGTGAAATTAGAAAACATGATGTCACTGCAAAAATTTTATGTCAGTGTGTTCATTTTTTTGTAACTAAGAGTCCGTCATCGTCAAATTTTTTCACGCCAATTACACCGCCGCCATTACCGCCATAGTGACGCCGCCACAGTGTCACTGCCAATGTGATGCCGCCACAGTGATGTCGCCGTCTCCGGCCAAAGTGACACGCGTTTCCGGCCACGGTGACACGCCGTCTCAAACCAAAGTGTCATGCCATGGCCACAATGACATGCCACGTTGACATGCCACATACCACCGCCTCACTTTAGGTCGCCGCCCTCCCTCCCCGATCTCTAGCCCCCTCCCCAGCCCATCCACAACCCCTATACAACTGCTGCCCCACCGACACTAGGACTTCTCCAGCTAGTTCCTCAGAAATCTAACCACACCACCACCGCACATCCACAGACCTTCGTCACACCCCCGCCAGCCGCGGTGGCCCCAAGTTAGAGTCGGAGTGCATCGCGGACGGAGGATCTCGCACCAGTGGTGCTTCATCGAGGACCTCCTTGCCCCATCACGACTAGACCACTGCTCATCACCACATCATGTAACCTTTTCCACCGCCTTCCGTCGTGCGTAAACCTAAATCCTTAACGGACGGCGTATCCAGCCGCGGTGGCGCTCCAGGATAACTGAACCAACATCGGCGGCGGCCCTCAAGGATAGATCTGTGCCCCTGATCGATTTCAGTCAAAGCTGTGGACAAGAAGACAAGATATGGCGGTGGTGAGGCGTCACAGAGGCGCAACGAGGAATGAGAAGAAGGAGAAGTGACGACGCCAGCCATTAATCGGAAGGGGGCCCAAAGCAAATGAACGAATTTGACTTGGAGGGTCTGGACTTGAGCGGAAAAAAGGCCAGGAGAGACGATGGATTATTAGTGTTAGGAATTTTAGTCACTTTTTGGTCTAATTGAATATTGATCACATATTTGTCTAATGAAAGGGTGCAAGGGATATAGACTTTGCATTCAATTTTCAAAATCATTAATATATATACACTCATCATGTCAAAAGTTGAAATTAGTTCAACTACCTAACACTCCTTTGTAATTCAAAAGTTAGTTTACAAGATTAGTTAATCAGTTAATTACTTGCTTTACATACAACTATAATAGCCCACACATAAGTCATAACAAGGAGAATAATCAGAATTGAGCTTTTGTCACTTGTTCTTCTTACTATTGTGTCAGCGACACTTTTAGTACTAGACTTTTAAATTTTTCATTTTTTATCCTTGACTATTGTGCTAGAGACATTTTGAGTCTTCAACTTCAAAGTTTCCCACATTTAGTCTCCTAAGTATTATCACTTTTAGTCTTTCCACTACGAGTTTGATACGATAAGTGGATAATTAAAAATGTCACTATTATAATAGTTGAATGACCAAAAGGGTCACTTTTATGAAAGTCGAGAACTAAATATGAAAATTTTCAAAGACGGCACCAAAAGTGTCTAGCACATTTGTCGAGGACTAAAAATGAAAAAAATCAAAGCTGAGTAGCAAGAATGTCAATGACGTAATAGTCGAAAGACTAAAAATGGAAAAAACTCAACGAGAATTCCTCCTCCTAGCTTTCTCTTCATCGATCTCTTTATCTCTTCTTTCTATTCTCTGCAATTAGCTATCTTCTCCAACAAATTTGTATCCGAGCACAGAAGATCGAAGGGAAGAAACTGCAAGATCAAGATGAACAACATATTTTTCCTGCTACTCTACCAGTTCTTGACAGAAAGAATTGGAGTAGTAGATGTCATAATCAGATGAAGGCTATTCTGGAATTTCAGGAGATTGCAAGAGTCGTTGAGAATGGATTCTCGGACCTTCCTGCGGGTGCTACTGAAGCTTAGAGGGAGATTCATAGAGTGAATGAGACAAAAGAATGTAAAACCGTGTATATTCTTCATCAGTGCATGGATGGGGCGCATTTTGATCAGATATCTTCTACAAATACCTCTCAAGAAGCATGTCGGATTCTTGAAAAATGCCATAGACGAGCTTATCAGTTGAAGAAGGTTTGTTTGCATATCTTGAGAAGGAAATACAAGTTGTTGTAGATGAATACAAATGAAAGGATTCCACAGTTCTTCAACCAAATCATCACAATCACAAATGCGATGAAAAGATGTGGTGAATCAATCTCAGACCAAGCCATTGTTGAGAACATCCTGCGTACCCCAACTCCTAGCTTTGATCACATTATTGTGACGATTGAAGAATCCGAGAAGCTTGTGGACTTGAAGGTTGAGGATTTTCAAGGATCCCTTGATGCTCATGAACAAAGGCTCATTGAGAGATCATATATAGTCTGTTAAACAAGTGCTCAGATCGGGCTTAACTTGCAAGTATACAAGTGTCAGTGTAGTAATAAAATACTGGTAAATACCGGGTTGAATCCACTGGAAAACATTATTCTATAAGGTTCGATTTTTAAGAATTAAAATAGAGAATGTAAGTAATGTGCGGGAATTTTTGTTGATTAAGTGAATATTTCATAAAATGACTAAGGCATCATGATTCACCCTAACGTTAACTAGAATTCAATATAAGTTCTTTGTCTATTCTTTTGAGTACGGTATCGCTATTATATTTCAGATTTCGATTAATGCAATGAGAGCGTGGTTTTCACTGCATGTAAGTCCTGTTACAGCTCACATTCATTTAGAGAACCCCGTTGAATATTAAGATAGCACACACCTACGTGATGGAGTATATTCACATATAACCCAAGAGCCAGAACAATATATGAAAAACCCTCTACAATTGACTAAGGCAACATTTGTAACACTTGAGATTAAATTGAAAGGATTAAAAGTACCACTCATACCAACAAGGTGCATCTCCTTTTAAAAAAGCTCATCAGCTAATAACAGCAAAGTTAAGCATTCTTGCACGGGAGTAGTCTTGGGATGGGTGACCCCCTGAGAAGTTTCTCAGGGCGTGCACAAGTGAGGATAAAGTGCGCGGAAAATGCTAGTGGCGGTTTTTTAGAACAGTACTAGAGGTCCACTAGAGGTCTGGAGTAACTACCTAGTGTCCTGCGGGGTTGGGGTGTTACAGGTGGTTTCAGAGCAACCCTGCGACAGTGTGTTGATCCGTTGGACATCGGGCGGGCACTTCGTAATGAGGACGTTGCGATCCTAAGTGGGGGTGATTGTAACACTTCAGATTAATTTAAAAGGATTAATAATATTATTCATACCAACAAGGTGCATCTCCTTTTAAGGGAGCTCATCAGCTAAGAACTCCAAAGTTAAGCGTGCTTGCACGAAAGTAGTCTTGGGATGGGTGACCCCCTGGGAAGTTTCTTAGGGCTGGGGGCGAAACGGGGGCTATGGTCGTGAGAGGGCAGGGGGTTGGGGAGGGGGGCTGCGGGGGTGACGACGATCATCCTTGGGGAGGGACGGTGGTGTGCAGTGGTTGGGGAGAGAGATGTGGTGGTGGGTTGAGGCGGTTGCAGTCTTGCAGGGGTTGGGAGTGACAAATGGTTGTTTGGGGGAGACGACGGCGACAGTGGCTAGCAGTGTAAGGGATTTGGTGTTGGAGTATACTGATGAGGGGACTGTGAGTTTGGGTTGGAGACGGGCCGAGGAGGTTGGCTTTCGGAGTGAGGGCGGCGACGGGTCACCGACATTGGTGGCTAACAGTGATGGTCGGTGGCGGTGACAAGCGGTGGTCACGATCAGATCAAGTTAGTGTAACAAATTGGATCTAGTAAGTGTAACTGGGATCACGTAATGTAACTCGATGGATCAGGTAACTGTAATTAGTCGGGTCAAGTAACCGATCAGGTAACTATAACTAGTTGGACCGTGTAAAATCGGGATGCTTCCTTTGGAGGTGGATGGGCAAATATTTTCTTCCTTCCCGGTGGCTGGTGAAACCGGGATGCTTGAATTATGTTATTGCTTTTATTTTAATTTTCATTCTAGTAGCAGGTGCAACATTGCTGTTAGTGGGGTCTACCATATTGCGGGATTAGCGAGTTGGGCCGCTCTTATAGTCTTATGCTTGACGACAACTCTGAATCTCATCCCAGTGTAACCTTTGATATGACAATTTTGTATCTGGTTCTTGTTTTTAATATGAATTTTTAATATGATTAAGTTATCTTTTGCCAAAAAAAGTCATATATGCTTCTTTTTTAGAAATATTTAAATTTAGTCTCATTTTGTCCGTAAAAGTCATAGGACAGCCATGTTTTTATTCCTTAAATAGGAGTAATTTCTTCCGAGTTTGACATTATCAGGCTTTAAACATGACAATTTCTGCCAAGTTTTTTCCAAACATGACAGAAATTACTCCTATTTATAGAATTGAATAAAAACATGAATGTCCTAGCACCAAGTCTTGGAATAAACCGCCCCCAAACTACCATAAGATCAACATTGCTACACGGGTTCTGACTCCTAATTACCTTAGAACTGTTGCCCTCATCCGTAATGACCATGGCAATTACGTTGCTCACAAGGTTCACACCACCACAAACCAGGATAAAATATTTGCTTCCTATGAAGCCATTATAGACATTATTATCAACATCAAGAATACTAATTTGAGTAATTTCATTCTTGAAGTTGATAATAGAAACATTTATGAGGGCCTTACTGGCAGGGTCGTCTAATGAATTTGGAGGCCCCAGTTCCAGATTGCAAATTGAGGCCTCCAAGACAAGAAAAGAAAAACTTTAACAATGAAATACAAATAGACTAGAAAATATAAGTTTTATGATGTTTGAAACCCAAATATAGAGAATTTAAAATTTATATACCTTTTGGAATCTTGAATAATACATAACATCTAAAAAAATCGACCTATAACTAAAATTACATTCTAAATTTTTGGAGGCCCTCTACCAGATTAGGCCCCGATGTCAAGCACTTATTGCACCTCCTAAAAAAAGGTCTTGCTTACTGGGATATTTGCTCAACATTGGAAGTTCTGGCCAAGACTTCATAAAATCAAGCAAAGACTCAAGAACTATAATTGCCCTGATCACTTTCATCCACCCAAGGGTCAATCGAGCAGCAGAATACATTGCTTATAAGAGTATTTCTATTCATACCACGACTCATCATTTCAATCGTTTTGTTGGTATCTTAAAGTTTGATGCTATTAGTTATCCTTATGTGTTTGATCTTGAGTAGACATTGGTCTAGTCCTCCTACTCATTGTATGTTTTTATGTCTTTTTTAATAAATAGGTAGGGTGTTTCCTGGCCCCTACCCCGAGAAACCTTGTGATTTTTTGGCCGAATACCGGGTTAAAAAAAATATGAATGTCCTAGTTTGGAATTTCAAAACATTTTTACTTCGGCAATTTCTATTAGTATTATTCTTGTCCAAACGTCAAGATAATAAGTAGTCAGGAAGTCCGTCATAAAATTGCAGAGTATTGAATATTCAAGCTAATTTTTTTTAATCATCAAAACGGCTTTCCATTAAAACAAAGCAAACACGCAAGACCAAATCCAAAAACATATATTACATATCTGATCGTAAGCCCTAGGAATAGACTTAGTCAGTCACCCATTCAAATTTCAAAGCAACCTGACTCGTTAGACACAAAAAGGGCAAGAGGAAGCCTAAAACGATCGAAAATGAAACACTGCCTATCAAGAGTTCATCAAAAACCAAAATACTTCGACTATACCCGCTCGAACTGAAATAAAAATAAGTACTGCGAAAGGAAAAATAATACGAAAATAAAAACTTTCCCCAAATTACTTCCTCGCATGGAGGTGGTTCCGGAAGAGGGCGAACTGCTGTAGTATGGTAGAAGAGAAATTCAACCGCCACTTGTGGCTCCAATTGGAGACTTAATTTAGCGCACTTGTGACATATTGATGTTTCAGACCACAATATTCAAGATAAAATTAGAAAGGGCAAAACCATTTTCAATATCAAATATCGTTGCAAAAATGTTGGTGAAGACTAATTAATTAATCACAAGAAATTCCTCAAACTTGATACGTAGCAGCCGCTTCTAGTCAAAATGCTTTTTTTTAATGCAATGCAGCAGCCGCTTGCAGCACATCTTCTTCCTTAACAGAACTACGACGAGAAGTCTGTTTCTTAATCACACGTTCCTGCACCCACAAATACCCTAAAGATGACAACAAAGAACAAAACTTGACACAGAAACATCAAATTATTTCATTTTTCTTCGTTTATTTACGATCATGGTTTCTTACATCACTCAGGAGCAAGTCGCGAGGCTCTAGCATGTGGATCACTTCTCCCATTTTAGGCCTGTCGTCTGCATCCGGATCAACACAACGAAGAGCTATGAGTATAATCCGTTTAAGTTCCACGGCTGAAGGCATTTGGGGTAACTTTGGATCCACTAGCTCATCAATACTCTTGCGTTCAACCATTATCTTTATCCAATCGATCAAACATTCCTGCATCAAAAGCATGTTCCAAAGTTTCAAAAAAAACCCACTTTATAGGAGAAGTCTTTCACAATATGTAGGCTAATAATGCTTGAATTCCAAAGAGTTAAGGAGAGCTAGTTATACAAATCTTAAATATGAATATGAAGAATTGAGTTTGGTATATATGGAGAATCAAACAACAAACCAGCACATAAGGTTTGTTTGGTTCTAGGATCTCAAAGGGGAGGGATGTTTAGTTTTTAAATAAAAATAAACTTCCCATTTAACTGGTTAAAAATAAAATGTAGATAAAAATACACACATAAGGATATGATATAACTAACTATCGTTATATCTGATTTAAAACTATTAAACTACGGAGTAATATATAAAGAGAAATGAAAAGCATCTCCTTTGCTTCACTTTAAAATCCCCAAACCAAACAAGGCCTAAAAACAAACAAAAAATGTCACCTCAGTTTCAGTAGCAGTGTAGAATTTATGCGTCTTGCCGGATATGATCTCCATGATAAGTATACCGAAGCTATATACATCGCTCTTCTCATCAAGAAATTCAGTGCATGCAGAATCTGAGGGACTGGTTATGCCAAAATCGGATATCTTGGGATTCCATTGCTTGTCAAGTAGTATTTTGTGTGATTTCAAGTTCTGGTGTACCAGTAAAAGTTCTGAATCTTCATGAAGGAAAGCCAAACTGCAGTAACAGAAAATCCATTTATTCACATTTCACACCATTCATTTTTAACAGTGAAAGGTTTAAGTTCAAGAGATTTTTGGGGGGGAATGAAATTAACATACCCTTTTGCCACGCCGATAATAATATTCATCCGGATGCTCCACGTTAAGGGGCTAACTTCCCTTGCATAATCGTGAAGCCAATGTTTTAGAGTACCATTGTCTACATATTCATACACAAGTGCCCTATCACAGATAAATCTAATGGTTAGTTAACTCATCTTAAACTGCACACATTCTCATACCCCGAACCACACTAATGGAGTAGAATCTGGGACAGAATTATATTGAGGTATTGTCATAAGCCACTTCAGTTAAACCACACTATAAGTTTGTCCATAGTCCATACTAATGAGTTTTCTATCATAAATACAGTTTATGGTCACATATGGCGCTGACATGGACTTCTTTCACGGTTGATGAATGTGGATAAACCTACCTTTTTATTAAAATTTTCAATATGAGATGGTTACACATTCTTATTTCAGTAATAAAGTATGTTGGCAATTCTTCTCTTTCACATCCCCAGTTGTGAACCGAAATAATTACAATTTGAGTATAGTAAGGTACCTGTACATTCCTTCCATGCAAAACCCTACTAATTTCACCAAGTTTCTGTGCCTTATACACCAAACTCTCTCTACAGATCTAATAAACTCCTCAGCTTCATCGCTGTGGGTCATAACAAAACAAGTAACATCAACATAATAAATTCAAATAGAATACTTTATGTGTGTTTGAATTTTACTATTTTTATATTTATTCAGCGTAAAACCTGTTGCTTAACAATCTTTTTATGGCGATCCGAGTATGATTCGACAAGACACCACGATAAACAATGGCACGATCTCCACAGCTGATCACATTCCAAGAAGCAAAACCATTCGTTGCACCTTCCATCTCCTCCAGACTGTACCGGTTTCTAGGCAAACAAGCCTCTATATCGTCCCCAAAGCTACTCATTCTTCTGCTGTATTGACCGGGGAAGCGACCAGTAGTATACGCAGCTCGCTTCTCCGGCATCCCCAAGCTGAGCTCGACCTCCATCCCTTTTCGCGAAAGCAGCCTTTGATTCATAGAAGAGCTTCTGTAAGGGTGAAAGCGTTTGGATGCCAAAGGCTTCGGTGCATTACGAGTCTTTTTGAGGCATGAACACTTTATCCAAAGAATGATGAAGAGAACGAGTAATATGATGAGAGATGCGCATATCACAATCACAATCCATAGTTTTATGCCGAAGAAGGAAGTCGGAACTGAGAGTTTCTGGGTAATGGACGATATTATGGAAGGCATGAGAAGATATGCAGAAAATTTGCATAGTAATGGTGATTATTTAAGTTTGCGCAGTAATTATAGGTTAATGAAGTTTTTATGGAACGAGGAGATTGAACTCGAGTATAACTCTGCTTTTAAAAAAATTTAAATTACCTGAATTATCGGCGCATGAGAGCTGGCAGCTAACGATTCATCTTTAATATATTAGGCAATTCTTATTTTTATAAACGTCCCTCATTACAAGACCTGTTCTAGTCCTACCGGGAATAAAAGTGAAAATATAATCAATTCACAGAAAATATGAGGGATCAAAGGAGACGAATTAGGGTTTTGCAAGTAGTACCTCAGCAGAGTAAATCTATTATAAACAGCCAAGGACGAGATTCTAAGCTTGACATCACTGCAGCTACAAGATAAGGACGTTTTCTTCTCCAATTTGTCTTCCAAGAGAAGAACCGAGACCTGCTTCTGATCACCCTCCCAATTTTCCTGGGCCCGAATGTCAAACTCGGAGTGCGATTTCTCATCTTTCAGAACAAATCAGTGATGGAGTCAGGGAGGCATTGGAGGGGCCTCCCCATTTTTTTCTGGTAAATACTCCGTCTTACACAGTTGAGACTTGAGATCATCCACTCTCAAGACTCGTCTCTTCTTCATAGCAATGCGATTTTCACGGAAGAGATTCGAGCAAATGTTCGCACTTTACCAATTATACGAAGAAGAAATGATGAATTGCACCAAAGGGAGTCCCTGTTGTGATCTTGTTCTTTGGCTTGTTACTAACCTTTTCTTGAAGCATAACTTTTTCTTGAAGCATAAATCGAAGTCAAAACCATTTTATTTATTTATTTTATTAATAAAAAACTCGTATACTTCAGCTAGAACATCATAAATATCAACCGAATTAATCGATTTCAACGTTCCAAACAAGCTCTAAATTTCATGAAAGTATGTGAATTGATAGAGAAGCAGGTCTAGTTATATTATCTATCTTTATAAAAAGAGGTGAAAACCTGATGGTTTTACCACCCAAACACTGAGCTTATGTTGTGGGTCAGGTTAGCTGATAGGGTAAGGCTGTTGCATGCAATTGGTCAAAAAAGTTGGTTGGAGCTCATTAAATGCATTGCTTCAGTCTACTCGAATTGTTATAAAGATACTGCATTGGCAATCGGAGAAGTGACACATATCGTTCAATATAGTTATAAAATCTTTGAGAGCAAAAAGTTGTGTTATTTGATGTCAAAAATAGCAATGTTGCATTTAATGCAAAGTGTTCAAAGAGCATCTTCACAAAACAAGGAGAACAACCATTAAATTCCGTCTGACTAACCTTCTATTATTATAGTTCAAAAATCCAAAGCACTTAAGAGAACTGTACAAAAGATATTACGGAGTAATAAATTAGAAAATATACTCACAGAGGAATCCTCACCACAACACGCTTCCCAACAACAAGTACTTATAGCTACTAAGTTCACAGTGCAACAATGGCTTAAAGCTCTAAGAGAAACGGAATGTGGTCCCTCATCAATAACATTGATCACACGAGGACCACATGGGTCTTGGGGGTTCGAGTAGTGAGGGCATACAAAGTTGCTGCTCATGCTAGGGGAGGGAAGACTCTGGAAATGGTGTTGCATGATGAGGAGGTATATTTTACTTGAACTTTATTTTGAATATATATTTTGAATAAACATTTGTAGGGCAAGCACATCCATGTTGTGGGTAAAAGACCACATATTGCATTGTTCAAGCCACAAATTTAGGAAGACAATGTGTATGTCATGAAGAACTTCATGGTGTTGGACAATTACCAGTTGTACGCCTGTACAAAACCACTTCTCACCCCTACATCTTGGAGTTCTTGAGCCGGACTAAGGTCGTTCATTTGACACATGAATTTCCAAACTTTGTGTATGACCTTCAGCCTTTTGAGATGTTGCAATCTCAGAGACTACTGAACGACAAGCTTCTCATATGTAAATAACAACTTACTTACACTGTTTTGTTCTTACATAGACATTAGTAGAATATTGACAGTTTTTTTACATAGATGTAGTCGGTAAGGTGGTGGGGCGTTGTGCACCGCAGACCCATGTGATCAACAACCGCACAGAGAGGCCAATGGAACTCGCGCTAGATGATTCTGAGCAAGAGTTTGCTATCATTTTTTGAAGTTGACTGCGTCAAAATATACATATAAAACTGCAGTCAACTTCAAAAAATGATTTGAATGCCTTCCCGATCGAATTTTGAGCTGAAATTTGGTATGGACAAACTAGACTTGATGAGGAACATTCTCAAAAAATTTCATCAAAAAATTCCACCGGGAAGGTGCCCAAACGGGCTCGGCCGGACGGAGCATCCCGTCAGGCCGGCCTGACATGAAGTTTCCTCTCACTATGAAGCTGTTCTCTTCACCTGAATGTTTCTGATTTGAATTTTTTAAGTTCTGATCTGATCTGATCTGAATTTTTCTGATCTGATTTGATCTGAATCTTTCTGATCTGATCTGAATGTTCCTGATCTGATCTGAATGTTCCTGATCTGATCTGAATGTTCCTGATCTGATCTGAATGTTCCTGATCTGATCTGAATGTTTCTGATCTGATCTGAATCCTTCTGATCTGATCTGAATCTTTCTGATCTGATCTGATTTGAATATTTCTGAAATTATAATTACTATAATTATGAATGTAATTACACATATATAATTTAAATATAATTATAATTATAATCATAATTATAAAATTTTAATTATAATTACAAACACAATTATAATAGGTATAATTATTATTATACGTATTACACAAGTTATAAATATAGCTATAATTATAATTGTAATTATATTTATAGTTATATTTATTTCTATAATTATAATTTTAATTATAATTATAATATTTATTTCTATAATTTTAATTGTAATTACTCCATATAATATGATAATAACGAAAACAAAACTAATAACAATAACAACAACAACCATATTAGTAGTAAGAATAATAATAATCATGATAATAATAAATATCAAAATAATAATAATAATAATAATAATAATAATAATCATAGTAATAATAATAATAATAATAATAATATTAATAATATTAATTATAATAATTACAATAACAACAACAAGAATAATAATAATTATAATTATTATAATTATTATAATTATTATAATTATTATAAATATTATTATAATTATTATTATAATAAAAAGGATAAATCATGTCTGAACTTTTCTGATCTGATCTGAATGTTCCTGATCTGATCTGAATGTTCCTGATCTGATTTGAATGTTCCTGATCTGATCTGAATGTTCCTGATCTGATCTGAATGTTCCTGATCTGATCTGAATGTTTCTGATCTGATCTGAATCTTTCTGATCTGATCTGATCTGATCTGAATTTTTCTGATCTGATTTGATCTGATCTGAATAAACTAAGAATAAGCAATAAGTAATAAGATTAAGACGAACAGAACAGCTTCTATATATATAGAGAGATGAAACTTCATGTCAGGCCGGCCTGACGGGATGCTCCGTCCGGCCGAGCCCGTTTGGGCACCTTCCCGGTGGAACTTTTTGATGAAATTTTTTGAGCATGTTCCTCATCAAGTCTAGTTTGTCCATACCAAATTTCAGCTCAAAATTCGATCCGGAAGGCATTCAAATCATTTTTTGAAGTTGACTGCGTCAAAGTATACAGCAGTCAACTTCAAAAAATGATTTGAATGCCTTCCCAATCGAATTTTGAGCTGAAATTTGGTATGGACAAATAATATGAACGGAAAATAACAATTAACGGTAACCACTGTTGACAAAACTCAAGAGCTTAACACACACAAATTCTTATTCATAAAACATAGTTTGAAAGCCCCTTTAGGGGGTATAAATAGACAACTTATCCTTGGATAAAGGAAACTCCTAAATTATTGATATTAGGAAATAAACTGAAAATAATTTAGGAAACTCCTAAATTATTGATATTAGGAAATAAACTGAAACTAGGAAACTAATTAAAAGCCAATACTAATTAAATAAGAATTAAGCTAAATAACTCTTCATCCAGCCTGGCCCACGGATGTGGGCTTCTCCCGACCCCGCCTGCGATAAACAATCAAGGGCCTGCGGCCCTCTGCTTCTTCGTCTTCGGTCGCACGCGTCTGCTCCGTATCAAATGCATCCTCTTTTGGAAGAACCTTGTCCTCAAGGTTGAAATCAGGAAATTGACTCAAGAAGCTTGTTTTATTCATCCAAGTTGCCTCGTCCGTAGACTGTCCAGCCCATTTAACCAACAATTCCTCTTTTTTGTCATTCTTCTTCCTTGTAGCTAATATTTCCTCAGGCTCGAACACTGGACTCACAGGTAATTCCAAGCTTTCCGGTAGCTCACTCTCCACCGGGTGATCGCCAATTACCTTTCTCAGCTGAGATGTATGGAAAACTGGGTGAATACGGCTAGTGGCAGGTAGTGCCAGGCGATAGGCTGCCTCCCCAATTCGCTTTTCAACCTTAAATGGCCCATAGAATTTTGCTGACAGTTTGTTATATGGTTGGCGAAATAGAGTTGTTTGTCGATGAGGCCTTACCTTTAAAAACACCTTTTCTCCAGCCTGAAAAACCACATTGCGACGGTGTTTGTTTGCCTGTGTTGCCATGCTTTGTTGAGCCTTTTGCAGGTTCTCCTTTAGCCGCCTTAGCATAACATCTCTGCTGCCGAGAACCTCTGCCACACTGCTTTCTCCCGGCAAAAATCTTCGAATAGATGGGGGTGACCGTCCGTACACTACCTCGAATGGGGTAACTCTGGCTGCAGTCTGAAAAGCGGTATTATACCAATACTCTGCCCAACTAATCCAGCGTATCCATTGCCTCGGCTGCTCACTTGTGAAACAACGAAGGTAAGTCTCTAATACGCGATTCAACACCTCCGTTTGTCCATCCGTTTCTGGGTGATAAGCCGAGCTAAATTTCAGTTGAGTGCCGGACAACTCAAATAATTCCTTCCAAAATGTGCTAATAAATAGTGAGTCCCGGTCGCTAACAATTGAGCGTGGGATGCCGTGCAACCTAACCACCTCTTTAGAAAAAACTTCCGCAACCGAACAGGCTGTGACGGGACCTTTTAAGGGAATAAAATGTCCGTATTTTGACAGTCGATCTACCACCACTAAAATAGACGTATACCCCTTTGATTTAGGCAGACAAGTGATAAAATCCATGGAAATATCTTCCCAAATTAAGTTGGGAATTGGTAAAGACTGCAATAATCCCGCGGGTGATAAAGTCTCGTATTTGGCTTTTTGACAAACCAAACATTGTGCCACGTAATCTCGTACTCGTCGAAACATTCCCTTCCAATATACATTCATGGCGAGTCTTCTGTACGTACGATAGGCCCCTGCATGTCCTCCGGTTGGCGTGGCATGAAATTCTTCCAGTAATCGTGGTATCCAACTTGAATTAGTTGGCAGGACCAGTCGGCCCTTGAAAAATAGCCGCCGTCCTGTTACTTCATATCCTGGCGCTTTTGCCGGGTCAACAGCCAGTGCCTCCACAATTTCTTGCAAGACCTTATCCCTCCGCTGCTCTTCCTCTACATCGGCCAGACCCATCCATTCTGGAATGCTTACTGCCGCCAATTCTACTTCCTTTCCTCTTCTAGACAGAGCATCGGCAGCTGCGTTGGAGATGCCAGTCTTGTATTCAATCTCAAAGTCGTAACCCAATAATTTTGCTACCCACACTTGCTGGGAAGGAGTTGCTATGCGTTGAGTGAGCAGGTGTTTGAGACTCCTATGGTCGGTGCGCACGATGAATTTCCGACCAATTAAATATGGCCGCCAATGTTGCACGGCCAGAGCTAATCCCATCATCTCTCTTTCGTAGGCGGATTTGGATAAAGTTCTGTCAGATAATATTTTGCTATAATACGCAATGGGCCTTCGTTCTTGCATAAGAACCGCTCCAATTCCCGTTCCGGATGTGTCACATTCTACCACAAATAGTCGGTCAAATTGTGGCATGGCTAACACGGGTGCTTCCGTTAATGCCTTCTTGAGTTGCCGGAAGGCCTCCTCGGCCTCTTCTGTCCATCGGAAACAAGTTAAGGCTTCCTTTTTTAAAAGCCCTGTAAGCGGTCGTGCGATCTGTCCATATCCTTTAACGAACCTCCGGTAGTACCCTGTTAGCCCCAGAAATCCTCGAACCTCCCGGGCTGTCTTCGGCCGAGGCCATGATATCACTGCATTGACTTTGGCCGGATCCATAGCTACTCCTTCCTGCGAGATTATGTGCCCTAGATATTCCACCTGAGGCTGGCCGAAAGTGCACTTCTTTCTATTAGCTTTGAACTGATTTATTTTTAGAATGCTCAGAACCTGACTCAATTGTTCTCGGTGCTCGGCCCATGAACTGCTGTATACCAAGATGTCGTCAAAAAACACCAATACGAATTTTCGTAAGTATGGCCGAAATAAATCATTCATGACTGCTTGAAAAGTGGCCGGTGCGTTAGTCAATCCGAACGGCATTACTAAAAATTCATAATGCCCACTGTGAGTACAAAAAGCGGTCTTGTGGATGTCCGGATCAGCCACCCTGATCTGATGATACCCGGAACGTAAGTCAATCTTTGAAAAGACCATAGCGCCGGCCAACTCGTCTAACATCTCCTGTATTACCGGAATAGGGTACTTGTCTGGCACTGTTGATTTATTCAACTCCCGATAGTCTACGCAGAAACGCCAGCTGCCATCTTTCTTTTTGACCAACAAAACCGGACTGGAAAAGGGACTGGAACTGGGCTGAATAATACCGGCGTGAAGCATCTCGTTGACTAATCTCTCAATTTCATCCTTTTTTAAATGACCGTACCGGTATGGCCGAACTGAAACTGGTTTTGCCCCAGGTTCCAACTCGATACGGTGATCCCTAGTTCGGCGTGGTGGCAGCCCCTGCACTTCTGCAAAAACCTCCGTATGCTGACTGAGGATATCATCTAGTGAATCCGTTGTTGCTTCCTTCCCCTTACTAGCTTCCCTGATGAGGACAATTGCACTGAACTCTCCGTCTGCTGTCTTAAGTAAAGACCGTAAACTGACTGCATTTTTGCACATCGCGGGATCTCCCTTTAACTCAACCTTCTTGCCGTTAAGTTTGAACTGCATGGTTAACTCTTTCCAATTTGTCTGCACCTCCCCCAAAGTTGCTAACCAAGCAACTCCTAGTATGAGATCCACTCCTGCCAACGGGAAGACAAAACAATCAGCCTTGATAGCACATCCCGGTAAGTTTATGGAAAGTTGACGACATACTCATTCGGATTCCTGTCTATGCCCATCCCCTAATTGCACTCCAAACCTGCCAGTCTTGTCTTGTTTTAGTCGTAATAGAGATACCAAGGAAGAAGATACAAAATTATGACTGACACCGCTGTCAATCAAGACTGTGGCCGTGCACCCCCCCAATCATCCCGCGGAGCCTCATAGTCTGAGGGCTGAAAATTCCGGCCATGGCATAGACTGGCAAATCTCCCTCTTGTCCCTCGGGAGGGTCGTCGTCTCGCAGAAATTCCTCCTGCCCCGTTATGTCGCAATAATCATATTGCTGTAAGTCCAACTCATCGTCGTCGTCTGCTAGCATCACCCTTAACTGTTTTAATGGACATTCATGTCCCGGTGAGTAGGGTTTCCGACATTTGAAACACAGTCCTCTGGCGCGTAAATCATCGTAAACCATTGGGGGTATTCGAGTAAACCTGGAGCGTTCTGTGGCCTGCCCCGATGTTCCGGACGTGGTCCCGGTTACTGGTGGTGTGGTCCCCACTATTGGCCCAGTTGTTTTCGGCAAGCTGCCCCCCTGGACACGCGAACTGTAACACCGTCCCCAAATATATTTACTTCTATGTAAATAATGTATTGAACCTTATTAAAGGATTAATGAATTTACGAAGTTGTAAATTTTTGTTATTTTCTTTCGCGTGAATAGTAAATTGCACGTGGGGCCCACATCGGGAGCGGGGACCACCCAACATTCCCGAGACCACATATTTTATTCATCTTGGTCAAGATAATATTTATATGGTGGTGGATATTTTACTTGGGTCGTGGAAAGGCCCTGTGTTGGCCGATTGGGCAAAAGAAGCCCAAATGCCGGTACCGACAATTTAACGGATAACAGCCCGAAAATGAATTTCGGAGACTTCTAAATTAATGTTTTGGAATACATATTATTTCAAAGGGCCATTACGATTGAGAACACATAATATATTTTATTGGACCCGATAAAATAAAATATATTTAAAACAGTCCGAAAAAAATACAATTTTCGGGACCGATTGTACACATCGGGACACAAAGGGATGACCTCCCACATGAGTGGGGGCCACCCCACGTTTTTTTGTGCTCAATTAGACAAAGGGGAGCTGGATATGATAAAGGAAGGTGTGGAGGAGGAGGCTTTGGCATCAAAGTACAAGGATGACCCCTCACCCATCACACATTTTGTCATTTGAGACAAAATAAACCACTCCCTCTCACCCCTATCACCAAGCTCGACCAAGACCTCAAGAAAAGAAGAGGAAAAGCTCTCAAAACCACCTCCATTGTTGCAGCACGAGCTCAAGAGAAATTGGTCCAAGGAAGGAGGTTTGAGAAGGAAAAAGTTAGGAAAAGTGTGAATAATTAAGGTAATGACCTTGTTATAACTTCTCCTTCATTCTTCTTTTACCATATGAGGTATATATCATGTAGACAACCTTTAGTATGGTTCCATATGTCACAAGTATGGATTCATGGGTTGAAAGGTGGCTCTACGTCCAAGAACGGACTTAGAAGCCAAAAACGACCGGTTCACCGGAAAATAACCTTTTATAGGTTATTTGTATTGATTAAGGTTTTATGATGTTAAAACCTTGTTAGGAACTTGTGAAAGGTATTTCAAGTGATTTCACAAAGTTGGAAAAGTCGCCGGAGTTGTCGCCGGAGTTGACCAAAAGTCACCGGAGTTTCACCGGAGTTCAACCAAGAAGGGTAGAACTTCTTAACGCTAGTTCAAGGTGAGTGGACGGCTTAATATCTTATAACTTTTGGGTTAATTATAAGATTACCTAAATAAATGTTATATGAATTCATAATGATGTTTAAAAGATATTTAAACATGTGATTAGCCAATAGGGTTAAGTTTGTATGAAAGAAATAGATTGTTTATGCATAGAATATGATATGAAGAATTATATAGAATGCATATTTGCTTGAAGTGTATTAGAAGCACAAATGAATATTTTAACTTAATTATGTGATGATTAAGTTGATTTGTACAAGGTTTGTAATGGCGGTCAACGACCACGTTGACCGGTGGATAATGGATTAATTAATACCGGTCGATATTAATTAATTGTACATTTACATAATTGCATGGCTTTGCATGGAATGTGATACATAAGTTTTATGTATTGAATTAGTTATGAATGACTAAATATGATATAGACCCTATCTAGCGTGATATGTGGTAAGTCATAGGTCGGGTGGAGTACCCAAGGATCGGGCGGTTATCCTCAAAACTCGGTTATATAGGGTGGAGTACCCAAGGATCGGGCGGTTATCCTCAAAACTCGGTTATATAGGGTGGAGTACCCAAGGATCGGGCGGTTATCCTCAAAACTCGGTTATATAGGGTGGAGTACCCAAGGATCGGGCGGTTATCCTCAAAACTCGGTTATATAGGGTGGAGTACCCAAGGATCGGGCGGTTATCCTCAAAACTCGGTTATATAGGGTGGAGTACCCAAGGATCGGGCGGTTATCCTCAAAACTCAATTATAGGGTGGAGTACCCAAGGATCGGGCGTGTATCCTCAAAACTCATAGATTACATTTAATGATCTAGGACCGGGCGGTGTCCTTATGATAATTTATTTGACCAAGGAGGAGTTCTATACACTCATAGGTATATGGGTGGGTTGGGATTTAAGTCAAGGATATTGACTACTATTATTTTCCCAAATAAACAATGACCTACGGGTCGGGTATTTCCAAGTGTATGTATACTAATATGTATTTCAAACTTGGGGGAAGGACTATACGTATATGTATCATCCTATGTTTGGGTCTTATACTTGAAACGCTAGTTATTCTATATTTAGCCTGCTACTCGCTCGGTACTTGTACTGACCCCTTCGGGGGGCCCCACCATTTTCAGGTTGAAGCTAGGGCTTGCTACCTGCACCTTTCTACGGGTGACATCAATCAAGGAAGACGTGGTTCGTGCTTCCTCATTTTATTTCAAATTACCAAACATTGCTCATGGATATTTTTATTGTCATAAACTATTCTTTTGGGGCTTGCATGCCCATGATATTGGCCGGTTGTGGCTTATGACTTACCGTTGAATATTTCCGCTATTCATTGGTTTAAATGTGATGTTGTTATGTATGTTTACCACTGAGTATGGATGGATTATTTTCTCGAACGCCTTGTGTAATCAAGTGAGGTTGACTCGCGGGTGACGTCACTTGATTATGCGGCGGTTGTACACGCGCTTGGATTGCGGTCTGGGGCGTGACAATTAAGTGGTATCAGAGCCATCTCAGTTCTAAACTATATAATCAACCTCTCACATGAGATTTTATGAAAGAGTTTTTACCGAAAACCATGAGCATTGGATTTTGACGTTATGGGACTATTGGAGCCTAAGTTGCAAGGCCTCTAATTGTTAAGACGGTACCCTTAACAATTGGTATGGTGGTGACTTAGACCAATACGTGTCTGTAACGTTCTTCCGTCAATTGACATTTATAGGAGTCTAATGACTCATCCATATTTCTTTCAGAAATGGAGGGCAGGCGAATGCGGACCAGGAACAATCCGAGGGGGCAGGCGCCGGTAACATCCCAAAGGGGAAGCCGGGCTGCATCTCGGGGTTCAAGAGGAGGCCGTGGAGGCCGTGGAAGCCGTGGAGGTCATCAAGCTCAAACTGTGAGTGATGGCCATGTAAGCTCGGTGTATGAAACCAACACCGAGGACTATGACTCTACGTATGTTCCTGAGACAGAGCATGAGGAGACCCCATATGATGGGGGTGACACATACACCGATGAGGACAATGATGAAAGTGATGCCCGCTTCGCCCAAATGGGTGAATTACTTGAGTGGTATCAAAAGGAGAAACAGAGGAGAGACCTTAGGCGCCAAGCGAGGCGTGGCTCTCGTGGTGGTTCGGGTCAAGGGAGCCGGGGAGCTTCCGTGGCCACCCCAGCGGCGTCACAAGGGGGGCGTGAAGGGGGTTTTGTTGTGAGAATCTCCAAGTACCTCAAGGAGGCTAGGGCCTTGGGGTGTAGGTCCTTTGACGGCACCGGTGACATTACCGTTGCCGCCGATTGGATTAAGAAGGTGAAGGATGCATCAAGAGACATGCAAATCACACCGGACGTGAAGTTGACTGTCGCTTCACGGCTACTTGAAGGGATAGCCTCTACGTGGTGGGAGAGTGTGGAAGGGAAGTACCATGGGGAAATAACATGGGCGGACTTTGAGCTAGAGTTCTATGCTCAATACTACTCCGAGTACGAGGTGAATGTGAAACGGAGAGAGTACACTAACCTCAAACAGAAAGATGGCGGCACGGTTAAGCAGCTGGAACAAGAGTTTAGAACCTTGGCGAGGTTCTTGCCAGAGTACGCGGTTGATGAAAACCGCATGACGGAGCACTTCTGGGATGCATTACTCTTGGACATCCGCGACCGAGCTACATACTCTCGCCACATGTCATTTAGCGAGGTGGTGGAACAGGGTCTTCTTGGAGAGGCCCAGTGGAATGAGAGGAAAGCAAGGGACGCCGAAGAGGCGAAGAAGAGGAAGTGGAATAATTCGGGACCACCCGATCATTCTCGAAGAAACAACCACGGGGGTGGTGGTGGTGGCGGTGGTTCATTCAAGGCGCCGGCCCCACCGGCAAAGAAGAACAGGGATGCGAGGTGGCACGGACCTAGGCCACAGAACTCGGGGCCACCTAGATGTCCCAATTGCTCAAAACAACACTTTGGGAAGTGCAATGAACCACCGAGGTGTTTTAAGTGCGGGAATGCGGGCCATATGAAGGCCAATTGCCCTCAATTGATGCAAGAGAGTGCCTCGGGAGCCGGGGGAGGGACCATGACGGGAAGGAACCGTGCGGGACCGTCAAACGGCGGCACGGGAAGAGGCGGCGCATCCACAAGTCATGCCGCATCCGTCAACCAAGGTGGGACCCAAGCCCGAGTGTACGCGATGACCGAGGCGGATGCGAGAGCAAACCCGGACTCCGTTGCAGGTAATACACGTATTCCCATGTATTTCTAGGCTTATCTGGGTCATACGAGTCATTGGGTTTGGGTGCGGGCCACCCCGGGGTCAAACCCCGCGAATTCGGAGCGAAATGGGCTAAAAACAACTACGCGCGATCGCGCGTACCCACAGACGCACGACCGTGCGTGCGAGGCAGTAGCCTCTGGCCTTATTCCGCGCAGACGCACGCCGTGCGTGCAGGTCAGGCACGCCGTGCGTGGGACGCACGATCGTGCGTGACCAGCTACGCACGATCGTGCGTAGCCTGCAGTGGTGGATCTCCGATTTTCACCCAGGCACGCCGTGCGTGCCACCCAGGCACGCCGTGCGTGGACCCCCAACACCCGAAAATTGATTTTTTCGCCCCGTTCTTCTACGTTTGGACCCCCGTTTGATTCCAAACATTAGTGTGAACCTAATAACATCCTAATGATGTGTAAAAACCTTAGAAAATGTATCTTACATGATGTATAAATGTAGGAACATTAAAGATCAATGGTAGGTGTGCGAGGATCCTCATCGATACCGGGGCACAACGCTCATTTGTGAGCGAGGCGTTCGCCGAGGGCCTTGACGTGCCATTGACACCTATGACGCAAACGTTGCTAGTCTCCACACCGTTAGGAGACGATGTGGAGAGAAATCATTACTATCCATCATGTGAGGTGGAAGTGACGGGTCAACCCTTGACTTGTGATTTTGTACCTCTAAGCATGTTGGAGTTCGACGCAATCCTAGGAATGGATTGGCTCGAGAGACACCATGCTCGAGTAGATTGCTACACCAAGGTGTTGGAGCTCGAGGATGATCAAGGAAACACGGTATGTTTCGAGGGAGATCGAGGAAAATCCAATGCTTGCATCATATCCGTAATGAGAGCACGGAAGATGATGAGGAAGGGGTGCCACACATACCTTGCTTACGTGATGGATGATACGAAGAAAGAAGTCGACATCAAGGATGTTCGAGTCGTGTGCAAGTACCCGGACGTCTTTCCAAAGGACCTACCGGGGCTTCCACCCGATAGAGAGATTGAATTTGTAATCGAAGTGGAGCCGGGAACCAAACCCATTTCGATTCCTCCTTATCGAATGGCACCGGCCGAACTTCAAGAGTTGAAGGTCCAACTACAAGAGCTACTGGACAACGGGTTCATCAGACCCAGTCATTCACCGTGGGGAGCACCCGTACTCTTCGTAAAGAAGAAAGATGGTACGCTAAGAATGTGTATCGACTACCGACAGTTGAACAAGGTCACAATCAAGAACAGGTATCCTTTACCTAGGATTGATGACTTGTTTGATCAACTTCGAGGGGCCATAGTATTCTCGAAGATTGACTTGAGATCGGGGTATCATCAGTTGAAGATCAAGGAGAGTGACATACCTAAGAGTGCATTTCGCACTAGATATGGTCACTACGAGTTTCTTGTGATGTCATTTGGTTTAACCAATGCACCGGCAGCATTCATGGACTTGATGAACCGGGTGTTTAGTGAATACTTAGATCAATTTGTGATAGTATTCATTGATGATATCTTGATATACTCCAAGAGTGAGGGGGAGCACGAACATCATTTGAGGCTTATACTTGATCGGCTAAGGGAAAAGCAACTCTTTGCCAAGTTCTCTAAATGCGAATTTTGGCTCAAGGAGATTGGTTTTCTCGGTCACGTCATATCCGGTTCGGGCGTAGCTGTGGATAACGCCAAGATAAAGGCGATCATGGATTGGGAGAGACCCAGGAATGCGAAGGAGATACGTAGTTTCCTTGGCTTAGCAGGATACTATCGTAAATTTGTGGAAAAATTCTCCGTATTGGCGTCCCCATTAACGAAGCTCACAAAGAAAGGGGCCAAGTTCATATGGGACGACAAATGTGAGAAGGGGTTCCTTGAATTGAAGAAACGACTTACCGAAGCACCAGTCCTTGCCCTACCCATACAGGGGATAGGGTATGACATTTATAGCGACGCTAGCATCCAAGGGCTTGGGTGTGTACTGATGCAAAACGGTAAGGTGATTGCCTATGCTTCTAGGCAATTGAGGAAACACGAGGTGAACTACCCTACTCACGATCTAGAGTTGGGGGCGGTAGTGTTTGCATTGAAGATTTGGAGGCATTATCTCTACGGGGAGACGTGTCACATTTATACTGATCATAAGAGCCTGAAGTATGTATTCACTCAGAAAGAGTTGAATATGAGGCAGAGGAGATGGATGGAGTTGATCAAGGACTATGACTTGATCATCGACTATCATCCCGGAAAGGCCAATGTAGTGGCCGACGCACTGAGCAGGAAGAGTACGTCGGGGACGCTACTCACATGTCTACAGGCATTGAGGGCACACGTGGAGGTATCCACGAGCGGGGCGCTCATTGCTAGGTTTGAGGTCAGACCTACATTGCTGGGTGAGATCAGTAGATGTCAGGCCATTGACGAGGAGTGTCAGAAGATTCGTGAACGAATCATTGAGGGGCCTGTTGAGAACTTTCGGGTACGTGACGATGGTCTATTATTGTTTAAGGATCGTGTGTGCATACCAAAGAATGAAGACCTCCAGAAGTCTATACTCGAGGAGGCTCATTCTTCAGCCTATGCTATGCATCCAGGAGGTACTAAGATGTACCGGGACCTGAAGGAAAGTTACTGGTGGTCGGGTATGAAGAGAGACATCGCCGAGTATGTGAGTCGATGCCTTACTTGCCAGCAAGTTAAGGCAGAACATCAGCACCCGGCAGGGCTTTTGCAGCCACTCACCATCCCAGAGTGGAAGTGGGAGCACGTGACCATGGACTTCGTGGTGGGGCTACCACGAACAGTGAACAACTATGATGCAGTTTGGGTAGTGGTTGATAGACTCACCAAGAGTGCACACTTTTTGCCTATCAACATTACTTATCCTCTTGAAAGACTGGCCAAGCTCTACACGGAGGAGATTGTGAGATTACATGGAGTCCCGATATCCATTGTCTCGGATAGGGACCCACGATTCACATCTCGATTTTGGCCGAAGTTTCAAGCATCTTTGGGGACTAAACTGAAGTTTAGCACAGCTTTTCACCCACAGACGGATGGACAGTCCGAGCGGGTGATACAGATTTTGGAAGACATGCTTAGGGCATGTGCTTTGGAGTTCCAAGGAAGTTGGGACAAGCATTTGGCCCTAGTAGAGTTTGCCTATAACAACAGTTATCAGGCAAGTATCGGCATGCCCCCATATGAGGCATTGTATGGGAGGAAGTGCAGAACACCGTTGTGTTGGGACGAGGTTGGCGAGGCCAAACTCGAAGGGATAGAGCTGGTTGAGATCACCAAGGCCAAGGTAAGGATCATTCGGGATAGACTAAAAGCTGCTCAGGACCGGCAGAAGAGTTATGCTGATAAACGGCGGAGACCGTTGGAGTTCGAAGTCGGTGATGAGGTCTTCCTAAGAATTTCTCCTTGGAAGGGCATCATTCGATTTGTATCGAGGGGAAAGCTTAACCCCCGATACATCGGCCCATTTGAAATCCTTGAAAGGATAGGGGCCGTGGCTTACCGTCTCAAGTTGACACCGGAACTTGAGAAGATACATGACGTGTTTCATGTATCGATGCTCAAGAAGTACATACGAGACCCATCTCATATTCTTGAGAAACCACCGGTAGAGATCCGTGAGGACTTGCAATATGCGGTGGAACCAATGAAGATTGTTGGCCAACAAGTGAAGAAGCTGAGGAATAAGGAAATTCCTATGGTAAAGGTTCTTTGGAGGAGTGATCGAGTCGAAGAAGAAACTTGGGAGACCGAGGTCTCAATGAGGGAGCAATACCCATTTCTCTTCGATTAAGATACTTGGATTTCGGGGACGAAATCCCAATTAAGGGGGGGTGAACTTGTAACACCGTCCCCAAATATATTTACTTCTATGTAAATAATGTATTGAACCTTATTAAAGGATTAATGAATTTACGAAGTTGTAAATTTTTGTTATTTTCTTTCGCGTGAATAGTAAATTGCACGTGGGGCCCACATCGGGAGCGGGGACCACCCAACATTCCCGAGACCACATATTTTATTCATCTTGGTCAAGATAATATTTATATGGTGGTGGATATTTTACTTGGGTCGTGGAAAGGCCCTGTGTTGGCCGATTGGGCAAAAGAAGCCCAAATGCCGGTACCGACAATTTAACGGATAACAGCCCGAAAATGAATTTCGGAGACTTCTAAATTAATGTTTTGGAATACATATTATTTCAAAGGGCCATTACGATTGAGAACACATAATATATTTTATTGGACCCGATAAAATAAAATATATTTAAAACAGTCCGAAAAAAATACAATTTTCGGGACCGATTGTACACATCGGGACACAAAGGGATGACCTCCCACATGAGTGGGGGCCACCCCACGTTTTTTTGTGCTCAATTAGACAAAGGGGAGCTGGATATGATAAAGGAAGGTGTGGAGGAGGAGGCTTTGGCATCAAAGTACAAGGATGACCCCTCACCCATCACACATTTTGTCATTTGAGACAAAATAAACCACTCCCTCTCACCCCTATCACCAAGCTCGACCAAGACCTCAAGAAAAGAAGAGGAAAAGCTCTCAAAACCACCTCCATTGTTGCAGCACGAGCTCAAGAGAAATTGGTCCAAGGAAGGAGGTTTGAGAAGGAAAAAGTTAGGAAAAGTGTGAATAATTAAGGTAATGACCTTGTTATAACTTCTCCTTCATTCTTCTTTTACCATATGAGGTATATATCATGTAGACAACCTTTAGTATGGTTCCATATGTCACAAGTATGGATTCATGGGTTGAAAGGTGGCTCTACGTCCAAGAACGGACTTAGAAGCCAAAAACGACCGGTTCACCGGAAAATAACCTTTTATAGGTTATTTGTATTGATTAAGGTTTTATGATGTTAAAACCTTGTTAGGAACTTGTGAAAGGTATTTCAAGTGATTTCACAAAGTTGGAAAAGTCGCCGGAGTTGTCGCCGGAGTTGACCAAAAGTCACCGGAGTTTCACCGGAGTTCAACCAAGAAGGGTAGAACTTCTTAACGCTAGTTCAAGGTGAGTGGACGGCTTAATATCTTATAACTTTTGGGTTAATTATAAGATTACCTAAATAAATGTTATATGAATTCATAATGATGTTTAAAAGATATTTAAACATGTGATTAGCCAATAGGGTTAAGTTTGTATGAAAGAAATAGATTGTTTATGCATAGAATATGATATGAAGAATTATATAGAATGCATATTTGCTTGAAGTGTATTAGAAGCACAAATGAATATTTTAACTTAATTATGTGATGATTAAGTTGATTTGTACAAGGTTTGTAATGGCGGTCAACGACCACGTTGACCGGTGGATAATGGATTAATTAATACCGGTCGATATTAATTAATTGTACATTTACATAATTGCATGGCTTTGCATGGAATGTGATACATAAGTTTTATGTATTGAATTAGTTATGAATGACTAAATATGATATAGACCCTATCTAGCGTGATATGTGGTAAGTCATAGGTCGGGTGGAGTACCCAAGGATCGGGCGGTTATCCTCAAAACTCGGTTATATAGGGTGGAGTACCCAAGGATCGGGCGGTTATCCTCAAAACTCGGTTATATAGGGTGGAGTACCCAAGGATCGGGCGGTTATCCTCAAAACTCGGTTATATAGGGTGGAGTACCCAAGGATCGGGCGGTTATCCTCAAAACTCGGTTATATAGGGTGGAGTACCCAAGGATCGGGCGGTTATCCTCAAAACTCGGTTATATAGGGTGGAGTACCCAAGGATCGGGCGGTTATCCTCAAAACTCAATTATAGGGTGGAGTACCCAAGGATCGGGCGTGTATCCTCAAAACTCATAGATTACATTTAATGATCTAGGACCGGGCGGTGTCCTTATGATAATTTATTTGACCAAGGAGGAGTTCTATACACTCATAGGTATATGGGTGGGTTGGGATTTAAGTCAAGGATATTGACTACTATTATTTTCCCAAATAAACAATGACCTACGGGTCGGGTATTTCCAAGTGTATGTATACTAATATGTATTTCAAACTTGGGGGAAGGACTATACGTATATGTATCATCCTATGTTTGGGTCTTATACTTGAAACGCTAGTTATTCTATATTTAGCCTGCTACTCGTTCGGTACTTGTACTGACCCCTTCGGGGGGCCCCACCATTTTCAGGTTGAAGCTAGGGCTTGCTACCTGCACCTTTCTACGGGTGACATCAATCAAGGAAGACGTGGTTCGTGCTTCCTCATTTTATTTCAAATTACCAAACATTGCTCATGGATATTTTTATTGTCATAAACTATTCTTTTGGGGCTTGCATGCCCATGATATTGGCCGGTTGTGGCTTATGACTTACCGTTGAATATTTCCGCTATTCATTGGTTTAAATGTGATGTTGTTATGTATGTTTACCACTGAGTATGGATGGATTATTTTCTCGAACGCCTTGTGTAATCAAGTGAGGTTGACTCGCGGGTGACGTCACTTGATTATGCGGCGGTTGTACACGCGCTTGGATTGCGGTCTGGGGCGTGACACGAACTGCCGTTACTCGTAGTTGAAAGCATACCCGGGTTTGGACGTGGATAGCTGTTTATTCGAGACCCGGTTGAGTTAAAATTTGGTCCGCCTCTCCCTCCATTCTGAATGGCCAGATTGTGCTCGACATCCCCAGCCAACTCCATTGCCGTTTCCAGGCTCTCAGGTCATAATAAACGTAGCTCGCTTCGGATTGCTTCCTTGAGACCACTCATGTAATAACCCAAATAGTGATCATCAGACAATCCCGAAACTTGGCTTGCCAATTGAACAAAAAGAACATTGTATTCATCAACGGACCCTGTTTGTTTAGCTCCGGATAACCGTTCGAATTTATTCCCTTTATACCGGGAATCAAACCTGGTTACCAAGGCTTGTTTAAAATCCTCCCAGCCCATACTCGGCTTACGTGATTTGAGCCATGTTGCCCAGTAGAGCGCTCCTCCTTCCATAGCTACCATTGCGGCAGCCACTTTCTTTCCCGGGGGAGAGTTGTGTAATTCGAACTGCTGTTCTGCCCGTGCTAACCACCCGATGGGATCCCCCCCATCGAATGACGGAAGTAATGTTAGCGTTGGATTGCCCAGCCCGTTGTCGCCCTGCTGCGCGGTTACCACGATGCCACCTCCACCACCGGCGGTTGTCTTCGGCACTATCGGCGGTACTAGTGCCTGGGTCAACGCCGCCAGTGAGGCGGCAATCTCCTCCAGTTTTGTACCATGATTACTAAGTGTATGGTTTATGGCCACCAGTTGCGTGCCATGGTCTTCGAGGGTTTAGTTTGTTCGGGTTTGTTCGGCCCCCAGTCGGGTTACTTCTTCGCCCGTGCGACTTTGTTCGTTCTCCAATTCTTGCAAACGTTCACTTTGAGATCTTGTCATTGTGGCGGGACGGGATCCGGCAGGTCGGACCAATTAATATGAACGGAAAATAACAATTAACGGTAACCACTGTTGACAAAACTCAAGAGCTTAACACACACAAATTCTTATTCATAAAACATAGTTTGAAAGCCCCTTTAGGGGGTATAAATAGACAACTTATCCTTGGATAAAGGAAACTCCTAAATTATTGATATTAGGAAATAAACTGAAAATAATTTAGGAAACTCCTAAATTATTGATATTAGGAAATAAACTGAAACTAGGAAACTAATTAAAAGCCAATACTAATTAAATAAGAATTAAGCTAAATAACTCTTCATCCAGCCTGGCCCACGGATGTGGGCTTCTCCCGACCCCGCCTGCGATAAACAATCAAGGGCCTGCGGCCCTCTGCTTCTTCGTCTTCGGTCGCACGCGTCTGCTCCGTATCAACAAACTAGACTTGATGAGGAATCTGCTCAAAAAATTTCATCAAAAAGTTCCACCGGGAAGGTGTCCAAACGGGCTCGGCCGGACGGAGCATCCCGTCAGGCCGGCCTGACAAGAAGACCACTCTATATATATATATATCCTATAGTTCTAATCGATCTTATTTTTCCAGCGGGAACAGAGTTGGTTGTACACTTTGCAACAATTACATCAAACAGTTTAATGACTATGTCGACCAAGCTGAAAATGAACCCATCTTTCTCATTGTGCAATTGTGCAGGGCGAAGCGCTACAAAGGTACTATCTAACCACGTTTTGTAAATCATTTTCTAACACAAAGACACAAATTACCTAACAATCTACGGTTTTTGCAGGAAACGTTTCAGTGTCTACATCATTCAACGTAACCAAACTTATCAGGAATGTGGAAAGGATTGAGTTTCAAGATTTCAGAAATTTGTAACTGACAGAATATGACTACGATTTAGTACCTTGGGGTTAATGGAGAATTTAGTGAGTTCCTACTATATATACTTTCTACAGGTTTGATGAGGAAGCGGAGGAAAATGGAACTCTTACGTTCCTAGGCAGCGGCGGATCCAGAAAGTGTAACTGTTGGGGGCACCCAAATGGAGGGCCTACATCGTATTCACTCCGTACAGCCTGTTGTACAATGAGCACCGTACAATGGGTATTTTATGTTAAAGATATATGTATAACGTTTAAAAGAAATGAGTATTAGTATTAAATCAGTGTATTGATATAGCATAATTGAGCATTAGAAACATGCAATAGAGTATCATGATTCATGATCTACATGTAATATATACGCTGAAAATCAACTTACTCATTTAACTATTTTGTCATTGTATTATCATCAAAATACTTAGTGTGCTACTTTTGCAATTCAATATCAATAATCATTTATTTTAAACGTTATACTCATCTTTTTAATATAAAATACACGATTGTATGGTGATCACTGTATAAATGGATGTACAGTATAATTTGACACCTACATCAGATAAATCTATTAGGAAACAATAGAGCGGAACTTCTCGACCGACCCGAGTGAATCCGATTTTGAATTTGTTTTGGTTTATGCATCTCTAATGTAATAAAATTAAATTCCTAATTTATGAATGATATTATTTTCATTCCAATATCTTTGGGTATTGAGGCACACCCTAAAGGAAGTGAGATAATGTGACTTTAAAAAATAGTATAAATGTTTTTACACCACATAAATATTACTCTGTATCAAATATTGTTTAATACAGATCTAATGGGACATATAAAAATGAAATTTGAAAAAAAAATGGATGTAGAATCTTATATGGCGTGTTATTCTTGTACAAAGTCTATTTCAAATAGTTTGAATTTTTATTTTGTTTATAATCACTTTTGAATGTCAAATTCTTAGGAATACAATATTATTGCTTCTTAAGTAGTGGTATTTATACTACTTATTTGCTTATACTTTATAATAAAAGTATAAGTTTAAGAAGTTTGGCTCTAGAATGTGTTGTTCACTCAATTAGAAAACTAAACGAAGTGTTGAAAGTTGGAACAAATTGATGGGGGCATTCATTTTTTTTGGTTGGGGGCACACTCATAATTATTTGTCAAATATAATTTTTTTTTAACTAATTGTTGAGAGTTTATTGGGGGCATGTGCCCCCATTGCACATAAGCTCCGTCCGTCCCTGATTCCTAGGAGTCACAAAGTGATGGTCAAGATGACATTCATGGTGGGAATGTAACACTAACCTTCTTTGTATAAAAGAGGCCAAAATATGATAACTCAATCCCTACACTCTATAATGTGCTTTATCTATTTCAGTTTGAACTACTGCTTGACTAACAACTATACCAACTTTTTTCATGAAGGTATCTACTGGGTTCTGGCCGATATTGTCTCTATAGACAGCATCCGCGAATGGTGCTACTTAGGGTGCACATCATGTAACAAAAATGTGGTCCCTGAGCGTCATGTAACATCACTCTGGCAGATGGGGTTTTGAGGTAGTGTTCAACATTTATGTTATCTATTTTTTCCTTATGTTGTGAAACTTTCGAAAATCGCTTAACGTGTTTCTGTTGGTTTATGATACAGATACAAGGGGAGTGTTTGTGCAATGGATGACACAGGTCATGCTTTGTTCACCCTCTAGGACCGAGAGTGCACTGATATACTGGGCAAATCAGCGGCTAGGATGAGAAGGGAGGTGGTTGAGGTTGGTTTTACACGAAAAAATGACATTCCAGTTCAACATAATATTTTTTACTATTAGTTCAAAGTAATTGACACAGCTTAATATTTTTATGGAATAATTCAGAAAACGGGAAACCCTAGCCACTTTCCTAAAGAGATTGAGGTGGTCATGGATAAAAAAGGTAAGTTTAAGGTCCAAGTGAAGAACAAATCAGAAGGAAGTTCCTACAAAGGCATCATTTGAAATATTTGATAGTCCAAATAAACAAAGGTCAGAAAATCATTTTAAATCATTAAAATATATACTTTGTAATACTTATCAGCTATATATAAATAAATATTTTAATAATTTAAAAATGATTTTATTTTAATGTTATGTTAAAATATAAGTATATATTTTGATACTGTTAAATAATTGGGTGAATTTCTTCAAAATTTTAATATAATGGAAAATTTTAATGGTCTACAAGTTTATGTTGCACTATCAAGAGTAATGAATCATAAAAGTTTAAAATATTAATGTGTGATGAAGATAGCGAACAAATCAACCACATTGTGACTGTTGTTCATGAAGTGATTCAAAATGTGTAAGCGACCAAAGAAACTTTATTGTAACATTTATTATTTCATTCTAATACCAAAAAAACAAACCGTCTCAAATTAGTGATGGCCTCGGTGCGGGCCACCCGACCCGGGAACCGGGTACCGGTTCTGGGTCATTGGCCCGGTTTAGGGAGGAAAGCGGGGTGGTTGCAGGTGTGATTAAATGAGAACCGGCCGGGCCGGGCTGGGCCCGATTCGGGTCTTTTAACTTTTTTTTTGTTTGGGCTGGGTTTAAATGGGCTGGGTGTTTCCGATGGGTTTGGGGGATGGGGGGATAGGGGGGGGGGGGGGTAGGATAGGGGATGAAATAACCAAGATAACTAAAAAAATAGAATTGGACCCGGCCCAGAACCGGGAGACAACCTGGCCGGTCCCGAACTCCGGGCCTAACCCATTGCCAACCAGACCCAGCCGGACTTAGTCCCGACCCGGCCCAAGTCTATCACTATCTCAAATATGAGTCACACGTATCTTTTTCTTAAATATAATTATTTGTGTGCATTACATATTTACGACTATACTCTTTGTATTCATTTACACATTAATTAAATACTACGTACTACGTATATGATATATCTATTACTTAATAGATATATTAAGTATAGGAAAACTAAAAGCGGTAGCTACCAACTAAATTCTTAATTGCTTCTATTTTGGAAAACAACAAAAGTGGAACAATTGCAACATTCTTTTTTCTGGCCTTCGATTACCAAGATGAGCAAGTTGAACCTAGCTTGATTATATGCACAAAAATTCAAATATGAACGCAAATTTCAAAACAGTATAGGATACAAGAGAGTCCTCATTTTCACAGCTTTACCCGTAACCCACCTCCCAAAGAAACAAATCAGAAAGAAAGAAAAAGCAAAAAGAGAAAAAAAATAGAAAACCCACTGACATGGTAAATCTCCACGAGCAAATGTGATCTTGGTCAGAAGAACCATTTAGGCCTGACTTCAGCTTCAGTCTCTGTTAGCTCCCTATACTCGTACCATTCTGCTCCTGCTTTCCCTACCGGCATTGGTGGCCGAACAAATATCTCAACTGGCTTAGGAACATGAACAACCAAAATTAACTCCCCAAAAGTCTCTTCTACAATTTGACTATTAGATGATTTGAGCGTAATGCCAACAGGTTCAACAGAAATCCATCCCAGACCAGATATGGCTACATCACACGCAGGTCTACAAAAGAACAAAGACAAGGTAGCAGAAGAAGAACTTCTACTCATTATCACTCACAGCATTTAGTATTCAGGTCTCACCTTTCTATATTGTCAAACTTCAATTGGATGTGACGTTTTGTTTCTAGTCCCAGCCAGCCATCTGCCTTCTCTTTTCCTGTAGGGGGTGTTAGTAGATTTCCAAGTTCTCTCTGCAATGAGAAATACACCTCATCATGCCAAAGAAGAGCATGAGCAAACCATCATCCACTGTATCAGCAGGCAAGGTGTAATATTACATCTCAATATTTTAAAAAATAAAATGTAACACCTTTAAAACTGAAAGAAGGGTGTGATTAGGCTTAGAACATAACATGACTGAAAGAGTGGTTCATGATACATTCCAGTAGGTAAAAGGCTGAAAGTTCATACCCGGAGCAGACTGGAGGCACACTTTTACTATTACTATTATTATAATTATTATTATTAGTATTATTTATGTCTGCAGTAATTAGTGTTGGTTAATGTGGTAGTGGGTAGTTACTCCTAGGGCAACTAGCAGGGCACTAGGCATTTAGTTGGCAGTTAAAGTTTATGGAAGTCATAATCTGTAACCAACCTTCCTCTATTTAAGAGAAGGTTTATTGTCAATAGGGAATATCAAAAAAGTTTGTCAATAGTTAGAATCAGGGAGTTGGAGAATTCTCAACAAAAATTCTCATCTTCTTACACCATTCCACACGATATTCACACTACACGACTGCAGGCTGCAGCATATATATGCCAGCAAGCAACACCGTCAATCAGACCTCCAAGCAACCTTCTGTCTCCTATTCCGGTCCCGTGACGCGATCCCAAACCCAGGCACACAACAGTTCGCATCAATTTCAACAGTCAAGGCCAAAAGAGTTCAACATTACATGGTAAAACTCATCTGCTTCCTCAGTAGGCACCATGTGAATTTGCACAGCCTTGGGTCCATAAAACATTAACCGTGTCTCAGGAAGAGCCTGGGGGAGAAAATGTACAACAAAGAAAGTCATCAGAAGAAAAAACACTGCATGAAAAAAAATGAACAGTTAGCAAGCACAAAAACACTGTCTGCAATAAGATTGCATAAAAACGGAAATGGAATAAAATAAAAAACCATTTCAATTATAAAGTTATATTTTAATAATCTGTTGCATTTAAAAGTAGGAAATGGATATTCATTTCCATTTTAGTGTATTATAATGTATGAAGTAAATTGTCTGAGCTTCTTTGTTATGAAGTACTCCCTCCGTCCCATTTTACCTGTCTTACTTTCCTTCCTATTTGGGTTGTCCCAAAATAGGTGTCACATTTCCCTTTTGGAAAGAAATATGTGGTTCACAACATTTGACTTTACCATACTCAAATCTCAACCACAACTTTTACCTTTTCAACCACTTTATTAAAAATTGTGCCAAAACCAAAGGAGACACATAAAATGGGACGGAGGTAGTAACAGTCAGTCTATGCAATTTTCGACGCGATTTTCACTATGGGTGATGGGTCATTCAGAAACAGCCTCTCTGTGCTTTAGTACAGGGATAAGACTGCATACATCTGACCCCCCCTACCCCACCGTAGGTGGGAGCCTTTGCGACACTGGGGTGATGATGATGATGATAATGTATGAGGAACAAGTTTAAAACATGGTAAACTTATTCTTTTGTTTTTACTACTAGTAAAATATTTTATATGACAGGAAGTCTTTCCAAATATATATGGTTCACGTCAAAGAGATTGGATGCACCATATGACCCCATCTCATAATCACGGACCCCACGATTACGAGATGAATGTATTCTTAATTAGTGAGGGTCATTTGGTACTTTAATAAAGCAATAAAGATCAATTACATTGAATGCTATTCCACTTGAAGCCAATTTCAGAAACAAAACATGCAAGTAAAATCTGTAGACACAAAACCTTCAAAACGTCTACTCGCACAAGACCTCCCCAAAACATAGAGAATCCAGTCAAACCATTTGATCTAACTTGATCAGCGATCAGTTTGTCTAAAGCCAACTGCGAGTCCTGGTCACAATTAAAAGAGAATTAAGCAAAAAGGGAAAGGGAAAAACTTGGTACTTTTTCATTCATTAATATGGTCAGAATAACATATCTTAAAGGAAATACTCCAGGCAGAACATACCGGGAAAACTCGGGCACGAAGCCGACTTCGAGGAGCAAGAGCAGGCAGATCTTCTGAATGAACCACTGCAGCTTGTCTGTGATGGAGATGGACTCCAGGAGTATCGTACATTTTCTAAAGGGAAAAAATGCGATTGGACAGACAAGTTATGCACAACTTGAAGAAAACAGGTAAAGGAAAAGTCTATTCCATAGCAATAGGGAATTTATTAGGCAATTGTTGGACATTACACTGGCCCAAAAAAATTGCACCAGAACATCAGATTCTTCAATCACTACACTTTTCCCATTTTACGGTTTTATTGAAAACATTTGTTACAAAAGTTGGCCTATTGAAATAATACTTACACCTGCTCCTAAGAAAGCATCAATCTGTATTGGACCCAAAGTTGTTCCAGGAACAGCAGATTGAATTGGTCTGTATCTCCTTGCAGCAGCAGCCACTGGGTCCTTGTATGACATCATCTCTGGTTCATGTTCAATATTCAATACTTGAAAAAACATGAATATATACCAAATAAAGAAAAAGGCAAATGAAACAGGTTAAGATGATTAATAACTTACTTAACAGAGCATTGATGAACGCAGATTTTCCAACATTAGCTGAACCCTGGCAAAATCAATACACTTAAGATTCAACCTGCCTATCCCCAGTGGAAAACCAAACCAAATGAAAATAGGCTTAAGAGACAAAAGCTTGAACGTATAATCATTTCAATGGATGTCCATCAACTTTTGCCACTCAATACACATTCTAACCAGGACATAAACGTCTCTGCCCTGCATATAAAAAGTACAATTCATTGAAATTTTAGGAATATAGAAAGTGAAAAAAATAAAGAAATAGTCATATGAGCCTTATACCAATGGGAAAGTAGATTGTAGTGAGTTCCCTCCTACGTGGCATAGGAGAGAGATAGATAGGATGATTATTTTAATTTAAATAGAGAAAGTGATGTGTACGGAAAAATGAAAAAGATGAGAGATAGATATAAATTGTAGACAATGTCCACACATGGACTTTACACGGGATTCATGGATGAAAAGTGATTTAAGAAGATGAATATGGAGATATGTAGGTCCAGCACATAAAAATTGTGAGATAAAAATGGGACCCACGTGCAAGGGAATGTGAAAAGTAGACACCCCTTTTGGAGATGCTCCAAAAATACAACACGTCCATAGCCCAAAAACATCACTTGAAATGCCAACCAACAACCAGCTATCTATAACCTAAACAATGAGGACTACTACATTAAAAACAGAATAGTGTAGCCGTGACTTTAATATTAATGGAATTAATCCATTTTGTAAATTGGGAAAACACAATGAGGACTACAACAACTAGGCAACGACGCACGGGCGCAGGTACACTTGTACTGTGGGTGCGCAACACAGAAACATCAATTCTATAAGATTAGTCTAATATTTTAGAGTTACTTTAAAAATATCAAATTCTTCAACAAAAAGAACATGTGCAGCATCTCTGAAGTATCCTCAAGCTTTCCCACCTTAGTAACCAACGGCGAGAAAGGCGCTCACGCTACTTCTTTGTTCCTGTCTTCCTGACATGTTGTTGGAATCATGCTTCCAACAAAATACCCTGCTAACGAGCATGTAGCGGCGCCATTTGTGTCCCATCGCTATGCCATATATACCACAAGTGTATCAGAATCTCACCAGAAACTTTTTCTGGTAGTCAGCACCTTTTATAGTCAGCACCATAAACTTAAATGTTTATTATTTTGTAAGTGATAAGCACTTCAGGTCAGGCCGGATGTTAGGAGGATACACTATATTTTCTTCACATATTCAAAACTACCCTAGATGACTTGCGGAAATATGCTTGATACTACATCTACTTCGAGGATTCAAACAATCCATGATATAATGACAGAATCAAAATAGCATTAAGTTTACCTTCTTCTGTTTTTGGATTTCTGACACCACTCCACATATGCCAACCAAAGACTTTGAACTTGTTAAATAAACACTCAGAACACTGCACAAGGAACCATTTAGGTTGCATGTAAATATAGTGTCCTACAAGTAAACAATTTATTACACTAAAGTACCACAAAATATGTGCAATAAGTAATACTCCCTCCGTCCTGAAAAGGTTGGCCAAATTTCCTTTTCAGGATGTCCCAAAAAGATTTGCCATTTCCATTTAAAGTAAGGAATATGTGGCTAAAGTTAATTCTCTCTCCACTACACAAATTTCAACCACACAGTTTTTACTTTATTAATCCACGTGAAAGTCAACCTTTGCGGCCTTGGGGTAAATGAAAATGAAAATGATGAATCCACGTGAAAATCAAATTTGGCCAACCTTTTCGGGACGGAGGGAGTATCATAGTGTTCGTGCTTTTTCTACTAGAAGTACATTTAAGGAATCCAACAAGAGCTATTACTTCTACACTAAATGGTTGTTCTGTGAAAATTGTAAATCCTCAAGCTTGCCTGATAAACTATCAAAAGTAAATACAAAAGATAGTTGTAGCAGTAGTGGTTGTGGTCGTGGTCGCGGTCGTGGTTGTGGCCGCGGTCGTGGTCGTAGTAGTAGTCGTAATAGAAGTTGAAGTAGTAGTAGTAGTAGTAGTAGTAGTAGTTGTTGTTGTTGTAATAGAAGTCGACCTAGTAGTAGTGCCGTAGTGGTAATGGTAGTGACTGGCCTACTTCCAAAGTAACTGTATTGCTTGTATGATAAACTTCAAAGAATAAAGAAGGTGTATGTGACATATCTAGTGCTTACTTCAGCTTCTTTTTCGTTGTTGCCTCAACAACCCAATCACCAATACAATTAAGGTCTGTTTCTTTTGGAAGAAGATCCACCTTTATCAAACAAAGATCTGATTTAATTATATTAAAACAAGTACAAAAAGATATGTGTGCTTGAAGCAAGAGCAGTTGCAATAGCAGTAGCATTTGTAGAATAGAACCTTTAATTCTTGCTTATTTTACCTTAGTCACAACTAATATGATTGGATTTGCACCAGCAAGATCTCTGACATGGGCCAAGAAGCTTCCATTGAAATCTACAACATCAACCTACATATATAGCAGCACAGTGTAAACAACTGCCATAGGAAACAAATAATTCATTCATTAAATTCTAGTATAGTTGTTCACTAAGAATAAAAATAAAATATAAAAAAAAGCAATATAAAGCAGCAAAAAGGGACCAGTAATGCACAACTTACACACTTAAGATAGTAGGACATTCGCATAGGATAAGAGTGCGAACCAAAAATATCGGAATGCTACTATGTGCGATTCTGTTTTATGGAACTTAAAAGATCCAAATATGCCTTCATGATATTTTTGAATTCTTACATACTAGAGCATTGTGTAGACATTCTTTTATTACCAACTTTGCTAACCATGTCAGAGTAATCAATGAAACCTCTGTCAATCCTGGCTGGAACTCTTGTGTCATGACTGATTCTTATATAAAATATAAACTATAATAGAACAAAGATTCTGAGTAATTACAGTTTCATGTGGCATTACCAATTTCACAATCAATGCTTTCTCATGCCGCAAATGAGATAACTTTTCCCTAAGCTCTTCTGCTGAAACGAACTGCTTCCCAGCAGAATAACCTCCATTTCCACCAACCGCAGTAATAATGTGTCCATGAGATAATAGGCGGCACCTTCCGCAAAGGACTGTTCTAAGTTGACGATGTTTCTTCTTCTGTAAACCCCAAAATGGTCATCAATCGGAATGCGAAATTATTAGACTATGAATAGTCAATAGTCATTTACATCAAGCCATGCATGAAATTTGTGTCAGTGTGATTAAAATGAAAAACCGTAAACATACATAGTATAATTTTATCCAGTCGTGTACACTACATTTTTTATCTTTCCAGTACTAATAACCATTTTCCATCATTTGCAATGAAACCAAAGACTCACTATTTTTTGGCTTGGGAATATGATGAAATAAAGCGAAAATGGCTCACTAAACTATGTGCGCTTCTTTGTTATGAAGCAGCAATCAATTCATGCAATTTTCGACGCGATTTTCACTATGGTCATCCGGAAATAGTCTGTGATTTAGTATAGGGGTAAGGCTGCGTATATCTGACCCCTTACCCCCATCGTAGGTGGGGAGCCTTTGCCGCATTGGAGTAATGATGATGATGATCAAGTAATAATAACTCGGTGGTCTTGAATGAACATACTCAAGCCAACAAAATCCAACACTTTCAAATCACACAATAAAGCTCCAAGATTTATGGTACCCTGCTTCAGGAAATAGTTTAATAGCTCATCTCATAATACTGACAAATGTGACATCACCCCAATCACATGGAGTAGTACCCATACTTAAAGCTAGTAAAGATATATTTGTACTTAGTACACTACATATGTACATATGATATCGTTCACGCACTAATAAGTAATAACTCCACAAGCATCAAACTGCCACAACTTCACTCCGCACAGACGGTTCTAAAGGCAGTCTTAAGGGAAACATATTCGCATACACAAGCCAACTAAAGCTTGCATTTTATATTCACTCGATAAATCTTTAAATTTTCTGATAATTTTGCTTGAAGACATAAAGTTCATCTTAGACTACTGACTGCACTGACATCACTACAATCATACGAGTAGTACGCAAACTTCCAGCTAGCGCGGTAGTAAAAAAAAAAAAACTCCCAACAAATTGCATACCAAGTCATAAGTTTCCTTGTCAACGTATCCCGGAACATCGATTTCGGACGTTTGTAATGGAGCTCCGCACCCATAACAGCTCGGAGCCAAAGTCGAGAATTTCATGACATTTTCGTGCTTCTGCTTTTTTTTCTTCGGCGCGGCTTTCACAGCTGCCGCGGAATGCTGGCGACGGATGAACTCGTCTCCTCTTGTCGGAGCCGCAGCTCCGGATCCCTCGGGTTCGGCCCACGAGTTTGTGCAAGTGATGGCATCTGGTTTGCAGAATCGAACACTGAATACATATGGTTTTCGGGTAGGTATAGGAAAGGGAGCAAGGGAAGAGGAGGAGGAAAATGAGAAGGGGTTCGGCGCCATTTGATAGAGTGGATAGTGTATTGACTGTATTGAGTGCAATTGAAAAGGGAAGGTTGCAGATTTTTTTTAACAGATTGTTGTAAGGGCAAAATAATTGAACTACCAAAAAATTTGAAGAGATAGTGAGGTAAACACCTAACACTTGCCTATGTAATTTAAAACTTCAAATTTTATATAAATAGTTATTTTAGCACCCTATTCATGTATTACTTATTTTCAAAAATGTCAATTTTTTATGTTAATTTCATAATTTAACATATTTTAGCATTCATGAAGATACAATTAACATTCTAAGCTTCCATAGTAAAATAAATAGTATTATCATCACTCTATATAATTGCAAAGTTTTCAATTTGATATTTTAAATTATGCAATTAACTTCATAAATTTACACTTTTAAAAGAAATGATACATGACCACGTCATCACGGTGTTAAAATAACATTTTATATAAAATTTGGGATATTTAAATTACATATGCTAGTTTGAAGTGCTTATCACACACCCCTTCATAGTTTTGGGTATTTTAAATATTTTTCCCTTTTTTTAAAGAGTTGTGCTTGGTGACATTTTGGTGTACACCTATCGTACACTCGTTTATCTCACGAACAAATACTTGTTTGTGGACAGACAATTTTTTATTTGTGACACAAACGAGTGTACAAAAGGTGTACACCAAAATGTGTACACCAAGCATCTTTCTTTTTCAACTTGGCTTCGCGTAGGGTTACAATATAATAAAGGTAGTTTCTACGGTATCTTAAACATTTTAGAGGTACAGTACCTTAGCTTGTCCCATGTGGCCAAATAAGCAATAGGCATGTGGGTAATCATGTAGTGACTCAGCATTCAATTTAAGGGAACCTCTTCGGTGGAGTTCCTATATTGTACACCCAGATGTACGGGTGGGAACCGTACATTCAGGTATTTTTGTAATATATTGAAATCTCTTAAGGCTGAATTAATATAGATAGTGTGAAGCATGATACGGACTGCACCAGCACCGAGCCACCGACTTCGTGGAATCTGTCGCTGCCATCAAAATCTCTCTCCCCTGCTAATACATCGTTCCCGTCGACCATGAATCAATTTACCTTCTTCGTTGAATTATACTCTCTGTCAAACACCTCTCGGCAAAGGATAAATCTTCCGAAACCAAAACCATCCACAAACTAATTCTGACCCCATTATTATCCACCGCACATAGTATCATCCTGACATCCTTTTTGGCTTTTTGCAATTACAAGCTGCAAATACAATTTACAACCATCCCAGGATCCAAACCCCTTATGACAATTTTTTATTAATATTAAATCTATTACATATGCATTTTATAAAATGAGTTTTATGTTAATTCAAATGGCTATAAGCCTAAAAGAAATGAACATACATAAATGAGCTTTTAAATGTTATGATACTCATTTAGTAAGTTATGTATGCTCATTTGGTATCACTTTTATGCTCATTTGAAATGTTATATCAGTACATATTTCAAAAGTATCATATGAGATTAAATTCACCTAGGAGTTGATTATAGACACGAGAGCAGATCATTATATTTAATGACATGATTATAATACTCAACAGAGGAGGTGTGATACTCAATGAAAATGTCTTAATGCTCAACGAATAGAACTTACTATTTTCATATCAATGCTCATTTTGTAAGTTGTGTCTGCTCATTTGATATTGTGTTACACTCATTTTTAAAATTGACATATCAATGCATATTTCAAAAGTACCATATTATATTAGATTCGTATATTGAATTTCATAAGAGTTTATTATAGATATAATTTAAAAAAAAAATTATAAATGAAAAAATTAGAAAAAGAAAGTGAATTAGAAGATACGAATTAGAAATTACGATGCTCAAAATTGGACTCTTAATTTAAACGAAAAATCACGTCTTCCGCTAAATGAGCAATAATGTACTTTTAGTGAGCATCTGACCTATTTTACTGAGTATTATGAAGCTAATAATGAGTATCACGATCTCTGCTTCCATTTTCTAATTCTTTTTTTTCCTTATTTTTTTGTTTATAAAAATTTGTTAAATTATATCTACAATACACTCCTATTAATTTCAATATTCGAGTCTAATGTAATACTATCGTATGATACTTTGAAATATGCATTGATATGGCATTTTAAAAATAAGCATAACATCAGTACCAAATGAGCATACATAACTTACAAAGTGCACATTGATATGAAAATCGTAAGGTTTGTTAGTTGAACATCACGACATTTTAATTGAGCATCAAACTTCCGCATTAATGAACTTTTAATGAGCACCAAACCTATTATGTTCAGTATTAGGAGTCTAATGTAAAATAATACTTTTAAAAAATATAATGCATTGCTATGACATTTAGAAAATGAGCATAAAATCAGTACCAGATGAGCATACGTAACTTACAAAATGAGTATTCATATATTTGTTAGTTGGTTTGTCAGTTGAACATCACGACATTTTCATTGAGATCAAACCTCCTCTATTGAGATCGAAGGAAATCACGATTTCTGCTAAATGGGCATTAATGAATCCTTAATGATCATCAGCCTTATACAAATGAGCATATGTAACTTACAAGATGAGCATTAATATGAAAAATGTACGTTTTGTTCATTGAGCATAAAGACATTTTCAGTGAGCATCAAACCCCCGTTATTGAGTATTCGAATCGTGCGATTGAGTATCATGATTTTTGTCTCGTGTCTATAATCAACTTCTATGTGAACCTAATGTAATATGAAAATTTTTAATATGCATTAATATAACATTTTTAAATGAGCATAACAGAGGTACTAAATGGACATACACAATTTACAATATGTGTTTTCAAAAATTCAAAAGCTCATTTGTGTTGTTCATTCTTTTTTTTTTTTTGTGTTGTTCATTCTATTTAGGCGTTTTACTCATTTGAATTTAAAATAAAGTTCATTTCTAATGTGTTCAGTATTAATATATAAAGAAAAAGAAAGAAGAAAACAACAAATATATGAAATGAAAAGAAGAAAAGAAAAAAGACGAAAAGAAAGTAAATACTAAAAACAACTAGCAGTAAAAGTAATGAAAAAATCAAAAACAAAAACAAAAAAAGATTCGTGGATTAGAACACGGAACTAAGAACTCTATGATTCTGAAAGCAACAATCGCTAGCTCAAGGAAGACTCTCGACGGCAGAGATCTAAACATATTGAAGTCAAAGAAGATCCTGCCGGTGCGGTCGGATACTAAGGTCAGTGTGAAGGTGGGAAGCCTGAAAACTACGAAAGTCGGCGTTGGAGTCACTTGCGGCGGAATCCGCGTGAACGTCCCATTGGGGAAGTCAGCCGTCGAGAGCTACCTCCACCGACTAATATCCGTGTCAAGATCTGGAGATGGACTGTCTAAGGAAATAAAAAGAAAAGAAGAAATAGGATTTAAAGTTGATATGTATTACAAAACACCTGTATGTACAGTCAGAACTGTACACCCGGGTGGCCGGGTGTATGATATAAATTACCCTCTTCGGTGCCTCACTATTGTGCAACGTTTTGGTGCATCCGACATGTGGCACAACACTATTGGAAATATAATCCACCTCAGCCATTTCATTAAACATACGAAGTACTCCGTATTAAAAATTGCTAAGTGGTCCCACACAATTTTATCGTTTCTATCTGCCATCACTACCGAAGAGCTTTTTCCCTGATTAAAAATCCGGATCGAATACCACCAATCAATTTCAGAATTGCTCGACACAATCATAACTAGGATGAAGGGCCTGGTAGCGCATCCAATCATTAAAACTATCATCAAGTAAGATTCATTTCCATGGTTTGCGATTCAATTCATGGGACAAATTAGGGATTTAAGTTTTTATGATTTCAACAGACATTCCCCCCGAAAGGTCTCAGACTTTTTGGAACCGAAAACTTGCTCTTATAGGAACCCAAGAGTTTCTCAAATTTGAAACTTAAGGTTATCTCTTCTCTAACTATGGTTCAACAATGCTATGTGCCGATTAGCTTTTGTTACCGCTCAGTCAACATTTGTAACTATGGAAAAAGTTGCTTTCTTGGGTCCTGTGGTGCATGTATGAAACAAAAAAGGTAAAATTTTACGCTTGTTTTTACTCACAATCAATTAATGTAGCGAATGTTGAACAATCCCTCCAACCATATCTAATAAGAGAATAAAAAATGTCTGGATTAGACATGAACTTACAGAATGAGGAGAAACATAATAGGGCAATCAAAAGTGAAGACATTTTTCTAAAAACTTTTCCAATTTTCTTTTATGAAACTATGGATTTTAATTCATTTATATACTTGCTTATCTTTGTTTGAATTTTAGAATTATTTGAACTTGTTGCCAGACTTATGATGACTCATCATTTCTTATAGTTTCTGTTAAGCTGCACTCTTTGTCATGATTCACTCGTTCATCAAGTGTGGAGCTTTGCACTTGTGGTGCTATTTGAAAGAAAGGATGTTTATAATAAAACTTTTTACAAGGATGTTATGTTCTTCAATTTGATGTCTGCAATACAAGAACATGGGAAAAAGGTGTACAGAAGCAACATCTCTGTATAGAGAGAGGGTTCAATCTAAAAAAAAGAGCATGTTTATATATCCATATATATGACCATATATGATTTGCTAGTTCATCATAAACTCACTAAAAAGGACCAACATATTAAATCGCTACCCGGTTAAACAACTTTGGTGCATGAGTTTTTTTTTTACTTTGACAGAAGTTCCAAGTCCAGTTTTTGAAAGATTAATATGATTTTGTAGTACATCTCTATAACTGCTCGTGTTTTTCAATTTGTGGGTGGGGTATACTTGCTAGGCTCCGCTCTCGCTCGCCGCTACTCATGGGGTCTCAGTTGATTTCCCTTCCTTTAGCTAGCTTTCACCGGTCTTTATTTTAATATATTTCACAATTTCATTCTAGGATATAATAAACTTTTGAATTGTTAACCGGAAACATTCTATTCCTATCCATATTAAAAGGAATCATACAACGACCTCCTTTTGGCATCACTTTCAACTTAGTTTATAGCATCTGTAATGGTCCA